GGGTCCTCCAGGGGGCAGCAGCAGGAAGAGCAGGTGCATGAAGGAGCTTGGTCCATCATCAGGGTCCTCCAGGGGGCAGCAGCAGGAAGAGCAGGCGCATGCAGGGGCGTGGTGCATCATCAGGGTCCTCCAGGGGGCAAGTGTGAGTGGAAAAGGATGACAGACTTCCTAGGAAGTGGATGGTGAGCTTGTGAATGTTGTTTCCTGGGGTAGGAGGCAAGCTAGCTCGGTTTTCCCGTTTAGGTGGGTGGAGGGGGAAATGAGGCCCAAAAGGGTATTTGAAGAGATGAGGTCTCACTCTGTTGCCTGGGTTGACTGTGAACTTCTGGGCTCAAAAGATCCTTCTACCTCAGCCTCCTAGTAACTAGTTGAGACTAGTGTGTGTACATGGCCTGAAACTGTGTGCTACTGAATCCTTGCTATGTGGCTAGTGAGAATGAACTGGTTTATATTTAATTTGTATATAAAATTAGAGTATTCAAGCTGGACAGTGGTGGGGCATGCACGCCTTTAATCCCAGCACTCAGGAGGCAGAACTTGTGAGTTCAAGGCTAGCCTGGTCTACAGAGCAAGATCCAGGACAGGCACCAAAGCTACACAGAGAAACCCTGTCTCAAAACAATATCAACAAAAACAGACAAACAACCCCACAGTATTCAATTTACATTTCTCAGCATCTTTGGCAGAACTTGTGTGAATCTTTTTCAACTGTATTTTTTTTTTTTTCGAGGCAGAGTTTCTCTGTGTAGCTTTGCACCTTTCCTGGAACTCCCTCTGTAGCCCAGGCTGGCCTCGAACTCAGAGAGATCCGCCTGCCTCTGCCTCCCAAGTGCTGGGATTAAAGGCTTGTGCCACCACCCGGCTTTTCAACTGTATTTTTTTTGTTGTTGTTTTCTTTACTTATTTTTTGGTGGGAGGCAGAGTCTTACTATATAGCCCTGTATAGACCTAATAATCACAATTTTCCTGCCTCCATTTCCCAAGTTCTGGGATTACAGGCATATGACATCATGGCTGACTAAATACTTTTCTTATATGGATATTTTTCTTTCTTTCTTTTTTTTGAGTTTCACCATGTAGCCCTACTTGGCCTGGAGTATACTATGTAGACCAGACTGATCTTGAACTTATTGAGATTCACCTGCTTCTGCTTGAGTGCAGGGATTAAAGGTGTATTCCACCACACCTATGTACATATAGTTAAGATTTATTTTTGTATGTATGTGCTTTTTGCTTGCATGTATGTCTGTGTACGATATGTGTGCCTGGTGCCACTGGAGGCCAGGAGAGAGTGTTGGATCCCAAGACTGGAGTTACAGATGGGTGTGAGCTATCATATGGTGCTGGGAATTTAACCTGGGTTCTATGGAAGAGAGCAGCCAGTGCTTTTAACCACTGACCCATCTCTTCAGTCCAGATTTATTTTATTTATGTGTGTGTGTGTATCTGCATGTTGTATATCCGTGCCCTTAGGGGTCAAAAGAAGGTGTCAGATCCCATGAAACTAGAGTTACATGTGTTTGTGAGCTGGCCGATGTGAGTGCTAGAAACCTACTGTGGACCCTTTGGAAGGGCTGCAAATACTCTTCCTGAGCTCAAATGTTTTTAATAAAAACAAAGTGTCGGGGTTGGGGATTTAGCTCAGCTGGGTTCGGTCCTCAGCTCTGACAAAAAAAAAAAAAAGGTGTCCCGGTGGCTGGAGAGATGAGTAGAGATGACTCTGTGGTTAAGAGTGCTCTTCCGGAGGACCCAAGTTCCTTTTCCTGCAGTATCCTTGTAGAGGCAGCTCATGACGCCTGTACATCCAGCTCCACAGGCAGCGGCCCTCACATGCACATACCCCTTCCTTCACATATCCGTAATTATAAAAATGGGCTGGAGAGATGGCACAGTGGATAAGAACACTGGCTACTCTTTTAGAGGACCCAGGTTTGGTTCTTAGCGTCACAGGATGGCTCATATCCGCAAGTAATTCCAGTTCCAGGAGATCTGATATCCCCTTCTGGGCCCTGTGGGCACCACGGATGCATGTGGTACACATGCATACATACATGCATGCAAAACATCCATACAAATAAAAAAGAGAATAATTCCTTGCAAATGCTTTGAAACAGTACTGTCCATTAAAAACTTAATGTGTGCCACATGAGTAAGATTTTTATGGTGGGAGGTGCTGGGGTGGAACCCAGGGCTTTGCACACTGGGGAAGTAGTGTTACGCTACTGAACTACAACTCCAGGCCTGATTTTATATTTTCTGGTAACCACACATAAAGTCAGAGGACACAGGTGAACCAGTATTTGTTTTTTGTGTGTACAGACACACTTTGGGCGTGCACATATGTTAACACATATGTAGAGGTGGAGGACAGCCTTTGCTGTTCCTTAATCACCATCAATCTTGCTTTTGATTTTTTCGGGACAGGGTTTCTCTGTGTAGCTTTGGTGCCTGTCCGGAAACTCACTCTGTAGACCAGGCTGGCCTTGAACTCACAGAGATCAGCATGGCTCTGCCTCCTGGGTGCTGGGATTAAATGCCCACACCCACATCACTGCCCATCTTGCCTTTTGAGACAGGGTTCCTCATGGTTCCGAAGCCTGTCAAGTAAGCTGGGCTGGCTGGTCACTGATCTCCATAGATCCTCCGACCTCTGGGGTCCCAGTGCTGGGGTTGTAAATACGGGCCATCACGGCCAGCTTGTTATCGTGAGATCTGCGGAACCCAGCTCAGGTCCTCACGCCGGCAAAGCGAGCACTTCGCCAGCTGAGCTATAATTACCCAGCTCCTTGGTTTTGAGTCTCAGTCTGCAGCCCTGGCTTGTGGTGCCAGCCTGAATGGCCTCCAACTTGTGGCAATTCTCCTGCCTCTACCTCTCAAGTTCCGGGATTTTAAGTGTGTGCCACCATATCCAGAAAACCTGTTTTAATATATAACCCTGGAGCTGGAGTTCCAGGCAGCCGTGAACTACTGATGTGGGTGGTGGGAGGACTAATACAGGCACTCTGAACTACAGAGCCATCTTTCCAGCCCCAGGAATTAGCTGACTGAGAATGGGACTCGGAACCACGCTTTGGGTACTCTGTCAGGGGAGGAGACAGCCCAGGCCCTAGCTTCAACCTCTAACTCCAGGGGATAGAGACACTGCGCTTCCCCTTTGTCCTCTGGGCTCCGCAACCCAGAGTTCATCTTGCAGATAAGTGAGGTGAGGACACAGACTGTCACGTGCTGGGGGTTTCTTGCTAGGAAGCAAAAAAACAGGAAGAGAAGAGACAGGAAGAGAAGAGACAGGAAGAGAAGAAACAGCATTCTGAGAAAAAATCTCAGCCACGTCAGGATTCAAAGGGGCCTCAGGATTCAAAAAGGCCTCAGGACTCTTCAAAGGGGCCTCCTCCACCACCTGCCAAACAGCAGCCACAGGGACAGGCAGACCCACCGCCACCACCTGGGCCAAAGCCACCAAAGGAGCAAGCCCCTCCCACACAGAGCGCCTTCAAGGATGACCTACAGAAGGGCACCCAAAGGCAAGGCCCCAGCCAGCCTCAGCCAGCAGGGGCCCAAAAAGATGGACAGCAATCCTGCAGAACGCGTGGACCCCCAATCCTTCCAGGTCCTGGTGAGTGTACCACCCTGGAGACCCTTGCGCCCACCCTGGCCCCTGCCCTCTCTGACCCTTCCCAGCACCATTAGCCTTTATTGGCAGATAAGACTGAGCCCTGTAAACCTGTAGAACAGGGGACTCACAGAATGGCTTCCTCTTGGGAATTCTTCAGCGTAGGTTCAATCTGTGCCTTGACCCAGGAAAAGCCTGCTCCCACCCCCAGCCTCCTTAGCAACTCCCAGGTGAGTGATTTGTGCTTTGTCTTTATCAGGTCCCACGAGTGCATGCCAGGCTAGCTCTTCTACATATTCCCGACTCACGGTGAGAGGCAAGAGGGCTTCTTAGCAGGGAGAGGACTGGAGTCATTTAAAAGTCACTTCTGGGTTTTGTTTTGAAATTACTTTGGTGGGACTGGGGATTGAACCCAGGGCCTTGTGCATGCCAGGCAAGCGCTCTGCCCCCGACTGCTCCGCTCCGCTCTGCTCTATGCCACCTTCCTTTCAAAACAAAATTTTTAACTTAAAAAAAAAAGAGTAGTTTCTAAAGTGTATTGCACAGGTGTCTGAGGTGGCCAGCGGCCAGTGGCCAGCAATGGAGCAGGAGTTACAGGTGGTTGTGAGCTGCCGTGGGTGCTGGGAACAGAGTTCCAGTCCTCCAAGGTCAGCTAGCACTTCTTTTCTTCTCATTGCTACTTTTTTCTTTAATACATTTTTTATTCATTTTACATACCAACCACAGATCCCCCTCTCGTTCCTCCTCCCGTTCTCCACCCCCTCTTTTTTTCAAGTCTGTGTAACCCCGGCTGTCCTGGAACTCCCTCTATAGACCAGGCAGGCTGCCCCAGAACTCAGAGATCCCCCTGTCTCTGCCTCCAGAGTGCGGTGGCCCCATCAAGCAGTCTCACTGCCAGCTCTCTCTCTAGCCTCCCGCTTTAAAATTTGGAGACAGGATCTTAAGTTTCCCAGGCTCACTTTGAGCCCCCTCTGTCCCCCAGGCAAGCCTTGGGCTTGTGCTCTTCCCACTTCGGCTTCCCAAGTAGATGAGATTGTAGGCTTGAGCCACAGGCCAGACTGCCAACGGGTAACTCCTAATCAGAGTCTGAAACGGCAGGAGTGGGTGGGGTGCGGCCCCCGAGGGCGAGGACACCTGTGCAGGTTCTCAGCGGCTTTGGGCAGAGGAGCAGCTGCTCTGTCTTATCTGACTTGGAGTCCTCTGGCCTCAGAGACCTAACACAGTATTCCGAAAGCAGCCCACCCAGAAACGACTAACTTGTTTTGCTTCCTGTCTCCTCACTTTTTCAGTCGACTAATTACATCCAGCAGTGGTGATCCAGAGATGGACTCCAAGACCTGATGATACCACAAAGCAAAAAGAAAAGCAACCCAAAAAACAAAACAAAAAACCTAGACAGCAACAAAAGACAGACAGTAACCACACTTTCTTCCCACTCGCAACCTGTCTACTCCAAAAAGCCAGCCACATCCGGAGAGGAGGCTAGTTGGGATTAAAATGTGATTCCTGGAAAGAACCAGGAGGCTGGTCGGCTTCCTGAGCAGGGGATGGGGGAGGAGGGCAGAAGGACCCACACCTGGAGGTCGAGGATGGACCAGAGCAGAAGTCGAGTCCACACTGTTTGGGGCCGAGCCAAGGGAGAACATGGTCTTGAGCCCCACCTCATGCTAGCGCCTCCTACAACTATTACCACTGTTCCTCATCCAGTGACGACAGGCACCTGGGCTTATTAATGACCATCACTCTAACCAAGCTCGTGCTTACTGAGATACAGCCGAGGAAGAGAGGGGCCGCCATTCGCACTAGAGCGCAGTGGGAAGAGGGGGCAGGTAGGGATGGATGCCCAAGCTTTGCACAGTCCACGCGGGGTGTGTGTGTGTGTGTGTGTGTGTGTCCATATTAGGTATTGAGCTGTTAGGCGGGTGACGCAGGGAGGGTACTGACGCACTGGGCTGAGGACACATGACCTTAGAAAGGGGCAAGGGGCTGGCCTGCTGAAGTCCTCAGGCCTCTGTCTTCCTGGGTGTCATACTTTCCATTTAGCAGAGGGCCAGGAGACCCCCAAAACTCCAGATCTCCCTTCTTCACCAGCCCACGCTGGAAGAGGAGGCAGCACTGGGGGCCCTTAAAATCAGCCTCCAGGAAGACACACGAGTCCTGTGAAGTCCCTTCTGCTCCAGTGCTGAGAAGGCCTCCCTCGGACATGTCAGTCATAACTGGGGACACCAATGGGTCATTTCATATTAGTCCATGGAGCATCACCTTTGGGTAAGGAGCCCTGTCTTACTATGTATAGTCTAGGGATGATGCCTGAGTGGGATGGCCTGGACAGAATGGGAACTGGCTTGGAACAGGAATATTAAAGTTCAAAGACAGTTTAGGAATACACAATGGAAAAAGCCTCCGGGGGTAATCTCTTAGAAGTCAGAGAAACAGAACATGTTTTGGAAGGTCTTGGAAGTCTACATGCCTATCAGAGCACAAAGGTTTGAAGCCTGGGGAGGGAACACAGGTGATCATCTTGCAGGTACAAAGGCCTTAGTTTAATCCTCAGAACCCATGTGAGAAAAACTGGGCATGGTGGCATGTGCTCCCTAATCCCAGGACCAGGGAGGCAGAGATAGGTAGATCCCTGGACCTTGACTGTTTTAAGGATAGGGCTTGGCAGCTGGGCAGTGGTGCACACCTTTAAATCCAGCACTCAGGAGGCAGAGACAGGTGGATCTCTGTAAGTTCGAGGCCAGCCTGGTCTATAGAGCGAGTTCCAGGACAGGCACTAAAACTACACAGAGAAACCCTGTCTCGAAAAACAAAACAAAACAAAAACTCAGGCATGGTGGCACACACCTTAATTCCAGCCCGGGGGAGGTAGAAGCAGGCAGATCTCTGTTTGAGGCCAGCCTTGTCTACATAGTGAGTTCCAGGACAGTCAGGGCTCCACAGTGAGACCCTGTCTCAAAATAAAACACATTAAAAAAAAAGTACCCAAGGAAGGACACCCAAGGTTGTGCCCTGACCTCCGCATGCAGGCACACAGAAAACGAAATGGTCTGAGGTGTGGAGTGTACACCAGCATCCTCACTCATCTGCCCAGGAACCCCATTTTCCTTCAACACGGCTCAATCGAGTTTATTGATTAAAAACCTTTCGCATTTGGTGGTTTATACATCGCAACCTCAGCCTGACCTCCCTGAGTCTCTGTGTTTTGTTGTTCCCTTAACCCTGGCTTGGCAACGACAGACTCCCCTCCCTCCTTGTAGTCCCAGCTAGAATATAGTTCTGTCACCTATGTCCTTGTATCCATCCACCTTCAACTTCAGCTTTCCCCACCACGCCCACCACGCTCGTCCCTCCACCTGTCTGAAGGGCAAAGCTAGCTGGCTTTAGTGAACACACATGCCCGCTCTCCTGCAATACAGATACCGCCTCTATCTGGAGTCCAGGGGAACCTGGGGGTTACCTGGGGTTTGGCTCCAGTGCACAGACAGGCAAGGAGGGATCTAGTCCAGTTCTGGTGAATCTATCATTCTTCAGTCAAGGCCCAGGGGACAGCAGAGGCCTTGGGAACAGAGGGTGGGCCTGATGCAGAGCAGAGAACCCATGGGAGCCCCACAGCTCTGTCCTGACATTTAGAAGCTTTATGTCCTTCAGGCTTTTTGAACACAGCCACTGGGAATACTCTTCTGTCTGACCTACCTGTGAATACTCACATGGGTTCTGGATTGTGAGAAACTTACTTAGAAACTTACCTTTAATAAATACCTTTTCAAATGACTCTGCCTTTGGTCTAGGGTAGACCAGATGGCCTCTCCTCAGCTACTTTAGCTTCTGCTGTGACGATAACATTAAAGCTGCTCTACAGAGAAGAGGTTTAGATGGTGTCGTATGCAGGTCGAGAGAAGCAGGCCGTCACCACCATCACTATCACATGACCATAGCAGACAGCACAAGAGAACATTTATAGTCACCTAGAGAGACCTTGGGGACAGCACTGCATGTCTTCAAGGCCACTATAACTGGGAGAACATGAAAAGGATTCATCTGTGCTGTTAAAATAATCTAGATAAGCTTTCTCTTCATTCCAACTGACGACCCACCCTGGGAGAGCCGGGCAACCAACATGTTCAGCCCCAGGACAGTGCCAGGTCAGTCAGACAGTTCTCAGCACAGGCGACTAGAGGTGGGGACTGTCAGCAGTGACTCTGGGACATCTGAGGAGTCAGAGCCTACGGCAGGGTTCAAGAAGCTCCTTGTGCTGAGGGTGTCAGAGGAAGGCACCGTGAAGCCAGGTGTTTGCCTCCTTTGGCAAAGCCATTAAGTCCTTCCTTGAGCTCCACGGAGTTGAGATGCAGACAGCCTGCGGGAGCCTGCAGGACCGGGGCAGCGCTGTCAGGCTGGCCGAGGGCTCTCCAGGTGGGGCACTGATATGTTCTCCCTGCAGTCCACGTATTCAAAGCTCTCGAAGGGCAGCTGCTGTGGATGGCTCAGGTAGGAGCAGGTCAAAGCACCCCTGGAGAGGAAGGAGGCTTTGTTGCCACAGCTGGGAGGGAAGGGGCCGCTTTGGCCTCACTCCCTAGGACCTCCCGCTGCCCACTTCCTTCTGCCCCCTGCTTTGCCAGGACACCGGGGCAGTTACCACACCGGTGTTCTGGAAGCTCCAGACAGGGCTCCTAAGCAAGGTAAGGTCTGGGACAGGCCCCAGACTTGCTGTTCTCTGGAGCTAACAAAGACTCATGATGTGAGCTACCACAACTCTACCTCATAAAACGCAGCTGAGGTGAGGCCGACGCGGGGGTGGGGATGCGGGAGCCCCACGCCATACTTACTGGATGTGCAGAAGAACATGGTGGACTTTGATTTTCAGCCACGAACAGATATTGCTGAGAGGGAGAGAAGAGGGAGCCTTGTTTTTCCAGACGGTCGGGAATCTCAAAGAGGGGACTTACAAGCCACAGGTCAACACAGTTTGCTCGCCTCCCATCAGGGGCCTCCAAGATGCCTCTCTCAACCCCTTACCCCTTATCCTCTAAGATGAGCCTGGCCACCTGGCCATCCATGTTCTTGGCTCAGACATATGCTGGCCTCTCTCTCAGCAGAAAACTAGATACTACTCTTCCACAGAGCTTCAAAGAGTCCAACTCATGTAAAGATTAACCAAGTTCTACCCATTATTCTAATCTAGGCCTAATAGGGAGAGGCGATGGACTTTTACCCTGCCACGAGGGGGCAGGTCAAATGTAGGTTCCTGAGTCTGAAGCAATTACAAAGCCAAGTGGATTTTTTTGTTTTGTTTTTCAAGACAGGGTTTCTCTGTGTAACTGGCTTGGCTGTCCTGGAACTAGCTCTATAGACCAGGCTGGCCTTGAACTCATAGGGATCCACCTGCCTCTGCCTCCTGAGTGCTGGGATTAAAGGCGTGCGCCACCACCGCCTGCAGCCAATTAGATATTTTTTAAATTAAAAAGTATAGTTTGCCAGGTGTTGGTGGCACATGCCTTTAATCCTAGCACTCAAGAGGCAGAGGCAGAGGTAGGCAAATCTTGAGTTTGAGGCCAGACTGGTCTACAGAGTGAGTTCCAGGATGGGCCAGTGCTACACAGAGAAACCCTGTCTTAAAAACAAAAACAAGGCCAGGCAGTGGTTGATCTAGGACAGGCACCAAAACAACACAGAGAAACTCTGTCTCGAAAAACAAAAACAAAAACAAAATAAAAAACCAAACCAAACCAAACCAAACAAAAAAAACCTAAAAGAACACCAAGTGTGTGTGTGTGTGTGTGTGTGTGTGTGTGTGTGTGTGTGTGTGTGTATGTGTGTTCAGGCACACTTAGGTCATGGCATATGTGGCTGTCAAAGGACAATTTATGGGAGTGGGTTCTCCTCTTTTTACCATGTAAGACAGGAAGATCAAACTCAGGTCATGGTGGCCAACGTCTTTCCCTCGCCAACCCCTCAGTGAATATTAACTGGGTTTTTAAGCCAAGGAAGAAGGTAGAAGAGGTCAAAGGGTACTTACTATGTGCTGTTATCCCCAATCCTGCTGACGACTTCGTAAGGCATCTGTCAACCAAAAAGGCACGCGATTAGCCACACCCGAGGTCGCCCCCTTCCCACTACCACAGATGTCCACACACTTGCGGGCAGGGCTGGTCAGGAAGAGGGATGTTACCTGTTCACTGGCCAAAGGTCCGATGTGCAGGCGGAGGCTGCTGGTAACCTGGCCTACCACAGAGGTCTGGTGGAGAACCTCTGCAGTGAGCTTTGTCACCGTGACGGGATAGAAGTTGCTGTTGGAGATGTTCAAGATATTCTGGAGAGGGCAGCAAGGAGAAGAAATGGTGAGCATGGCTCCCCTCCACAGGGAAAGCACAAGCAGCTGCAGAAGCCTGGCTCTGTGGCTTGAGTCCCATCCTACCCTGGTGGGCCGCGGGCACAAAGGACAGTATTTATTAGTGACTCTGAAGGCGCTTAAGGAGTAACACTGAGCCGGGTCCTGTGGTCCACCCCCTGGTGTTGTTTTTACTCTTTGGTTGTTTTGGGGGACCCGCCACCCAGCTCCCAAATAAATCACAGCGTCTTATTCTTTCTTATGAATGCCCAGCCTTGGCTTGGCTTGTTTCTAGCCAGCTTTTCTTAAATTTTCCCATCTATCTTTTGCCTCTTTCTCTAGTCTATATACCTTTCTTTACTTCTTACTCCGTGGCTTGCTGTATTGCTGGATGGCTGGCCCATGATGTCTTCCTCCTCCTCCCTTTCTTGCTCCTCAATCTTTTCTTCCCAGATTTCTCTGTTTTATTCTCTCTGCCTGCCAGCCCCACCTATCCTTTCTCCTGCCTTGCTACTGGCCATTCGGCTCTTTTTAGCCCATCAGGTATTTTAGACAGACAAAGTAACACAGCTTCACAGAGTTAAACAAATGCAACATAAAAGAATGCAACACATCTTTGCATCATTAAAACAAATGTTCCACAGCATAAACAAATGTAACACATCTTAAAATGATATTCCACAACACATCCCTTCAGTCCAGTTACTCTGGAGGCTGAATCACTTGAGCCCAGGAATTCAAGACCAACCTGGGCAACACAGTGAAAACCCATCAATCAATCAAAGTTTGCTAGCTGAGGATTCAGTTTTATTCTGTTCAGTTTCTCTCCATTCTGTCCTGACATCCTTATTCCACCCTCGGAATGATCTGGCCCAGATTCTAACCCTTCACTATGCAGAGCCCCAATCTCATACAATCTACTATGGAGCTCATGTAGCCTCTCAGCATCCTTCTGCATACCACAAGATCCTTGGTACCTTCACCTTAGGCTACAAGGAAGATGGAAGTGTTTTGGAGAAGGTAGGGGTGAAATCAGGGACACCTACCACCTACCGTCATATTGAGTCGTATATGAGTTTCTTCAAAGGTCACCATGGAGGAGTTGAGGCCTACAGGGTACACGACAATGGACCGTGGATACAGGAAAAAGATGGTGAGGGAGAAAGCAAGCAGGCAGATGATCACCGCCAGGAACACGGAGAGCTTCCTGTGTGAGAATAGGCCCCAGGATGGAGGAGAAAAGTCTGAGAACACCAAGACAATCTAAGGAGGGGATTCAGAGCCTCCTCTCCAGACAGGTGGCTTCCTCTTGCACACAATCTGGCAACTGGATACTTAGCTCTCTAGCTGTGGTTCAGCACAGGATTGGAAGGCAGTTAACATGGCTTCCATTCCCAGATCTCTATCCCCATTGACCCAGTAACACTGAATGGTAATACTTAACCTCTTCAAAAGCCCAGTACGTCTGTAAAGTGGAGATAATTAGATCTATTTCACAGAATTTCCTATGAGTCAACAGAGGGAAAAAAAAAATAACTAATCATGGTTCCTGGCAGACGGCAAGACCTCAATGAATGCTGCTCTAACCACTTGAAATCAGTCTATATGACTCTTTGAGAGCTCTGAGTTTTAATATTTAATTAAATTCAGTACTCAGAACAGGATACTATCTATCCATGCAATTCAATCTGAGATATGAATTAGAAAGAACCTAGTATTTTATGAGGGACACTATTTCTAGTTTTATCAGATTTATTTTGTATGTATGTGCAACAGCATGTGTGTGCAGGCCAGAGGGCAACTTGTGGGAGTGACTTCGCTCCTACCATGTGGTCCTGGGGTTTGGACTCAGGTCATCAGGTTGGGCAGCAAGCCCCTGTACCCCCCACCCCCCAGCCATTTCCTGAGATAGGGTCTGTTTTTAGTACAGTGGCTGGGGAGGCCGGGCAATAGTTCTCAGGTGGAAGCCGAGGGGTTTTGGAGGAGGTTGCAGGGATCCTTGTCAAATGGATGCTGATCACATACAGGGTCATGGGCTGAATGTGATCTGAAACCCACATGCATTGAAACCCAGGGCTGCTTCTGAACCGAGCGGCTGGTTTTCTACCTCTTTTAGGAAGAACACAAGATCTAAACTGTTATAGCAAAGGGAGCTGCAACCAGGGCAACCTGTTCCCTCCTGGAAGGATTTACAGTCACGGAATGGCCTGAGCTCACATCTACTGCGATCTACGTGGCCTTTGTTGTTCTTGTTAAGTTATATTTTGACTGACATATGGGGTTTGATATTCCAATATACATTGTCTACAATGTGAATCAAGGGTAATTAGCAAAACTATGACATTTATCTTCTCCCCCGACCCTGCTTTTTTATTTATTTATTTATTTATTTATTTTTTTAATTTTGGCTAGCGATCAAACCCAGCATCTCATGCAAACTCTCAGTGAATCACAGTCTCAGCTGCTGACACTATCATTCTTAAAAGACAACCCCTGGAAACTCAAAGGTAATGTAAGTCTAATCACAGCGAGACTTGAACGTCCTGGATGGGGGAAAAACCAGGAGATAAACCAGAAGAGAAAGGTGAGGCAGCCCCTAGGGATGGATGACACTCACGTGTGTCTGGGCTTCAGTCTTTGGTCTCCGTAAGGGATGAGGGCTACCAGCTGCTTCTCCAGCTCTGTAGAGGGAAAGAGGGTGAGAAAGGAGGCCAAGAAGTGTCCATGACAAATATTTCCCGTGCTGGCCTCCCCCAAGCACCCTCCCACTCCATCTAGCTGGGCCAGAAGCACACTGCCTCCATCCCACAGCAGGACTGAGAACACAGGGGGGAGGCTGGCAGCTCAGTATTGTCTGAGGAGCAGAGGGACAAGAAACTTTCCTCTAGGTCTGGGAACAGCCATGGCAGGACCTGAATGTTTCTCCTTGGCCAGTCTGAGACTCAGAGAGCATGAACTAGCCTGGCCACCTACTCCAGGAGATACAGAGGGGCAGGTCTGGATCTCTCCCTGGTTCCAAGGGTATTTCCAGAGCCTTGGGCTACTCACCTCGGGGGATCTCCCCATTGCCTAGGCAGGTAGGACAAATCACAAAGCTGGTACCAGCCACCCTTGCATAAGGCACACTGGAGCACGGTGGTTTGCCGCCGCCCCTGCTGAAGTAGTTGGCAGCCTTGCTGGCTCTGGCTGGGTTATCAGGTAGGAGCGACTTGTCCTCATCCTGCTGAGAGGCGAGCTGGGAGAATGCCTTACCCATAGCTCAGCGGGGTTTTTCACTAATGAGAAATAAAACAAGGTTCAGTGCTATTAGCCTGTTGGCATTGATGCCAGATATAATTCTGGTTTTCAGTTTTCAAGATTGCCAAGAAGCCTTACCATTATCCAAGCAAGCTTAGCTTAGAGAGGAGAGGTGTGGGCGGCGCCTTGGGGCCTTTTTTTAAAATGAGAGTTCAAATAGAGAAAACCAAAGAAAAGCAGAAGTTACTTCACTTTAAGGGACTTCCATAAGTGAACGTAGAATATTTTTCCAGGAAAAGCTGAACTATCATTTACTTCAAAGACTGGGAGAGGGGTGCACAGCAGTGCAGGGTCCCTTTGTCCTCCCTAATCAAGGGATTACTCTGTAGAAATCCAAGAGCAAGCACCAGGGCAGAACTGCCGAAGTCAGCCTGTGAGTGTAGAAGGGAGGTTTCCACTCTGGAGTCTGTCTATAACAGAAAATCAGGGCTTCTTGATTGAGAGATCAGAGATGTGGCTAAGAAGCCGTTTGAAGAGGAACTGGGAGGGAGGCTCAATCTGTTCTTCACTGTCACATTTGAGTCTGGTCTTCATTAGGAAAGGTCAAGGATAATTCTGAACTTTCCCCCAAAAGCCCCGAGTAGTGGCTGGAATGAAGCAGCTCGTTAAGACATACTTAGATCTTCTTGGACTAAAATAAAGACACTGTACTCACCTGGTTTAGGTCTGGGATTCCAGGCTCTTCTCAGCTGCAAGACTGGATTTTCTGGAATGCTCCTTTGGGAAGAGGGGCTTCTAAGGTGGGGTGGTCCCCAGGGCGGGACGATCAGCTCCCTTCACCGGAGACCTGGGAGATGAATGTGCGGCAGGTGGGGAGCAGGGATCATTGGCTTCCAGGATCCAAGTTTCCCTCTCTACTAGGGATTTTGCCAAGGGCATCAGGTGGGCAAGGAAGGGAAAGGTAGGACTTCATTGAGGAAGGATTTTAAATCCTACCACACTGGCCGTTAGTCGCATTTGGGCACTACGTTGGGCGCTGAGAAAGCCCAAATGTCCCTGGGCTCTTGCTTTAAAAAGAGAAAGTAGGGGTAGGGGGTCCCGGGAGTGCCTTACCCCAAGTGGACGACGCCCTCAGCATAATCGAAACTGCGGAGCTGCGCGTTTATCACAAGCTCGGAGTCCAAGCAGGCTTGGCCCCGCCTCTCCGCCCCTCCCCCTCCCCCAGAGGGCCCGCCGCTAGAAGACACTTCCGGCTCAAGGGAAAACAAATTCTGCAAGGACCAACTAACTAGTCCAGGTAAGCGTTTCAAAGGACATTTATTCATAATTCTTTAAGCGGTTATGTACAAGTACAACGGAAGGAACGACTGGACCCAGATGGTCAAGACAGGTTCGACTCCAAATCCACCTCATTACCCACACCATGCGGTTCCATTTCTACCCCAAACCCCATGAAAACGTTTTAAATAATAAACGGCCTGGTTGGCTTGCAGTTTGAATTGTGGTTTATTTAGAAGCATTCAAGAGTTAGACTGTAAATAAACAGATTATGAGTAATTAAAATCGCCATTATAAATACCAACTAAGTTAAATAATACTATTTTAACTATCTTTCCCCTTTGAGCTGGGGTCCAGATTCCTTCTCTTTTTATGAATAAAATCTTTAGTGTTTTGTTACCTTTTCTTTCACCTCCTGTACCCAAAGCTCCCTTTGATAAACTAAATGAGACCTAGAATTCTGGAAGCAAGCTTCTTCTCATTGATCCTAGAGTTAAACTAACCTTTTGGTGGGTTAGCCTCCATCCAGCACTTCCTGTTCTCCTCTCTGGGCTGGACACCTCAGAAGAGGATTACAAACGCTCAGAAGTCATCAGCACTTCCTTGTCCCCTCACAGGTACCCAAACCTTACCGAGAAGAATGTTTGCACGTAACTGTTCTTAAGATCTGCTCCGACAGTCACAGAAGACTGTTACATTTACCTTTTCCTTTTATGTAACAGGTGGGTTTTCCTCTTCATGCGATTAGTGAAATATTTCACACTACCTAGGATTTTTCCTTAAATAAAACTTTATGCAAAATAACTTCAACAATCACTGCTCAATGGGTGCTGGTGGGTTAACTAGCATGCCCTTCCGTCCTGCCAGGTGAACACTCAACCGCACCACTGGGGTCTCTTGAAGCACAGGGTTACTTATTTAACTAAGTCTTACAGGGAAATGCCTTTCTTGATCTGCCGTCCTTTAATGTCACATAGCTAGGAAGCTTGGAGTTGGTTACAGATTAGGAGAATAATTCTTGAAAACATTCAAGGTTAATCTTTAAAAAACAAAAACCAAACTAACATTTAACAGCCCATCAAAAACATCCACATGTAACAAAGGAAAATACTCAACTTCAGTACAAGCAAAAGGAAAGCGGTCTACAGAGGTCCAAGTAACACACTTCCACACACTACAGCGGAGAGCTCTGTCCAGATCAGCTGAAAACTGTCTGTCTACTACTTATCCCATTTCTAAAATGAAAATTTAAGTTCTGGTCTTTGATTTGCTCCAAAAAATACTGTAACAGGTACTGTTTTGACAATTCAGTGACACTCGATATAGATTCATCAGATTAAAAACAAGCAAGGGCTTGCAGCCACACCTCAATGACAGACTAAGGTCATCTCTGAGCAGCAGGCAGTTATTTAATACAAGATGGGTCCTCAGTAGCGGTGGCTGTACCAGTCATTGTTGTTGATGTGAAGGAGCTCTGTCACAACCTGCAGGATGTTGTAATTGTGTTTTCTCAGCAGCCTTAGGTTCAGCTGCCTGTCACAGAATCCCATTTCAAAGAGATGGGCCATCAAGGCTGCTGTCTCATCTTCAGAAACGATGGGCTGTTGAAGACAAGAAGTAGACCATTTTCTGTATAATCTAATTGCTTATCTTGCAAATCTTTATTATATTGTCATCCTAGTCTTTCCTGACTTATTCAAAAGGTTAGGTAATTAGATGCAAAGGTACAGCTTTCCTGTCTCCCTCACACGTCAGTGGGTCAAGAGTGTTCTGGCTAGGTATGTGCACAGTTCAAGGAGAGGGGGGCAGAGTAGGACAATGAATGCTTCAGAGAACTTGATAAAAGCAACATGCTTAGGCACGGCTCATACCTGTGATTCCAGCTTGGAGGAAGAACACAAGTTTGGGGCTAGCCTGGGCTCTGCAGAGTGAGCCCTTACCTCCAAGACCCCAAACAAACAAAAATCACCCATTCTTCAGCCAAGGAAAAATTGAAGTGCAAGATGAAAAGAAGCCTTGAAGACTTGTGAACATAAAATTGTGGTGATGGGACAAATATGAGCAAGAAAGACTTCCTGAAGATGGCATGTGATACCAACCTTTACCAGGTATGCAAGTCAGATGGATACAGAATTGGGAAATTATATCTCAGGCAGTCTCTTTACCCTCAAAATAGAAGTGATCTCATTAAGAGGAAGCTAACACCTATTTACAGAAATCCCCGCCCTCCCCCTTTTGAGATAGGGTCTTTCTATATAGGCCTGGCTATCCTGGAACTATGTAGATCAGGCTGGCCTTGAACTCACTGAGATGCTGTCTCCATCTGACATATGCTAGACACGTGCTTTGCCACTGAGCTATAACTCAGCTATAACCCCTAGTCCCTCTTTCTGCTTATTTTAGAATAGTCTATCACCCTTGACAGGTTTAATCTACTTAGACATTTTTCTTTTTACCTTTACCACCTTAGAAATTTTCCTCTCCTCTGTACTGATAACATCGTTCAGGTAGGCTCGTCAACCTCAAGTCTCTTATGAACACTTCCTTCTGCCTTATGTGGACTAGTGTTTACCTCCCTTCCCCCACATAGCTAGCTGTGGCAAAGTGAAGCATACTTGGGAACTGTCTGTCAGATTCCTCACTCCTGGGTCACAGCTCTCTGCAGCATTTAGCACTGCCTACTGCCCCTTTATGAACCTCCCCAAACCCCAGCAGTGGCCCTGTCTGTCTCCCTCTAAGTCTTGTTTTTGTAGAGCTCTGTTGCCTTATCCTTAAAGGCCGTCTCTGCCTTCTCCATTTTCCCTAGCTAATCCTATCCAATCACACAGTTCCTGCTAGAACCTGTATGCAAATGACTGTCAAACTTCAGCCTCAGGTCAAATCTCTTCTCTATGATGGAGATGTACACATCCAACTACATGCTAGATGGCTTTACTTTTAACCTGGATAAACTGTAAACTCATCACTAAGCAAAACCTACTAGATCAACTCCTACCCAAATAATAAACTTTTTTCACTGGTGGGGGGCATTATGTATTTTATGTTTGTGTGCATGGTGCTCATGTGGTCATCAGAGGACAACTCATGAGAATCAGTTCTCTCCTTCCATGATGATTGGAACTTCCCAATCCCTTTCTAGGGACTGGAACTCACGTTTTTTCAAGGCTTGGTAGCAAGCACCATGACTCAACTGAGTTGTTTCACTGGCCCTATTTTCTTGTAATGCATGGCACTACTGAATACCTAAGCTAAAGCTTGAAATTTATCCCTGACTTTTGTTTTGAGACAGGGTTTCTCTGTGTTGTTTTGGTGCCTGTCCAGGACCTCGCTCTGTAGACCAGGCTGGCCTTGAACTCAAGAGAACTCTGCCTCCCAAGTGCTGGGATTCAAGGCATGTGCTACCACTGCCCAGCCCCCTTGACATGTTTTTAAGCACTTAATCCTAACAAGTTCTGACATTTCTATCTCTTTTATGTTATTTTTTAAACCCTTAATTTCTACCTATATGTGGATTTTCATGTGGATTTCTTTACTGGTTACATTATACCGCTATACTGTAGAAGAGTGACCTCACTAAAAACAAATGTGATCACATTAAATCACATCCTCCAAGTCTGTCCATGGGGGTGTGGTGCCACATGCCTTAAGTCCCAGCACTCAAGAGGCAGATGGAGCTCTGTGAATTCAAGGACAGCCTAGTCTACACAGTGATTTCCAGGAGAGTCAGGGTTATGAGGAGAGACTCTGTTCCAAAACCAAACCAACCAAACAAACCAACCCCAAACAATACAACAAAAAAACCTTCCTATTCCTTATATAAAACCCCAGCACTACAGCTCGCCTTTTCTTACTCTTCTCTCCAGATCCGATTCTCCATCCACTCACTGCCAGCTCTCACTAGCTACTCAACTTTATTTTTCAAAGAAGACAAGACCCTGGGACTGAACCTAGGGTGCTAAGCAAGAGTTCTATCATTATTAAACTACATCTGTACCACTTTTAAAATCTTATTTTGAGTAAAGGTTTCACTATGTAGCCCAAGCTGGCTTTGAACTTAGAATCTTTCTGCCTCCTCAGTAGCTGGGATCACAGGAGAGAGCTACCACATTCAGTATTAAAATATTCTTTCCTGGGGGAACACTTGCTTTGTCCTTTAGGCCTCAGTTCAGATACTAACTTCCAGGAAACCTCTGTCCCAGTAGGTGGAGATGTTCAAGCTGATGGACCGCACCGGCATAGTATCCTACCTGTCCTGAAAATGTGCATGCTTGGCCAATTTCCCAGAGTTGTTGACAGGAATGTGTGTCTTATGCATCCAGTAGCACCTGCACATGTAACTGTACATGTAGTAGGTCTTCAACAAATTTTAGGTTCTTTTCCTTTTCTCCCCAGAGTAACTTGATTAAAAAGATAGGAAATGGCAGGGCTATGTGTTCATCAAAGAAGAAATCTACATATAGTCCATGCCATGTTAATTGCCAATCCAGACAGAAAGACACTGCCATTTGTACTGGTGACTGAGGGGCTGAAGTTAAGGAAAAGAAACCACACACTGACCTGTGCAGTGACTGGCGGCCCAGAAAACAGGGCCTTGTACGCAGAGGCCGCAACAGACAAGGCCCCCTTCACCAGTCCTCCGGCAATGCCGCTCCCACTGTGGTGCCTACAGAGGAAAACCAAATTATCTCCCCAAACAAATTCATGACCTTACAGGATAATGTGGGCGCTAATCTCGAAAGACAATGAGGTATCCTTAAGAGAAAAAAAAAAAAATAGATGTAGAAAAAAAGAGAATGAACTGTTTTCAGAGCTACAAATCTTGGTTTGATGCAGGGCTCGGCTTGGCTGGCACAAGACAGGAGCACCGCAGGACACGTACACCTTGTGACCATGCCAGCGTTCCAGCCCAGCTGAAAATTAATGTGTCACGGACACACATGGATGTCAGCAATCTGTCTGCACATCTCAGAGAAAACACCTGGCAAAGGAAATGTGATTTTTCTGGATACTGATTTGAGATGATAGGGACCAGAGAGGCAGCTGTATCTAAGAAAAAAAAAAAATGGCCAAATGCACATGGGGCTTGATCTTCCTTTCTTCTTGGGTACTACAGGTGAGGTGACTTTTAGGGCAGTCCTTTGTCTAAAACGGGAGAATGCTTAACACAAGCTCTAGCTCTCTGTCCAGTGTTGTCAAAAGCTTTAGCACTAAAACGAGGAACGAGGGCTCTCCTCCTGTGCTCTAAGACGGCACATGCTCCGAGAGGCTCAGTTAAGCAGAAGCAGTGCTGGGATGTCCACCTGCTTCTGAAGAGACTTCACAAGGTCATTACCTTGAGTGGTCACAGCTCTTCTGTCTGCTGTTGACAAGTCCCGATGAGCCTCTGGGCTCTAAAAGCAGAAGAGCTGTTGGTTAGATTCGGCGTCCACAAGCACCTAGTGTTTCCCAACCCAGCAAAGCTATTATTGAGGCAGGTGGAAAGGTAACAGGTTATCTGAAGCCTTTCCTTCTTTCCTCCTCTTTATTAAGAAAAGTTCGGTGAGTGGTTGAAGTAACTGAGAAAGTCTAGAAATGCTATACAAGGTGGCTTCATTGAATAAAAAAACTTCTATAATCCTATTACACTGATATGTTGGTTCTCAGATGGTTTTAGGTTTGGTGTTTTAGGAAGAAGTGACTGTGAGGACCTACGTACTCCTTCACAGTGCTACTGTCCTGATGGTTCGAATAAGGGGACAGACCCAGGGGCATCACAACTAGCTGAGCTGCTGCATCAACCTGGTGAGGAGAGGCAAGCCTGGGGCTGGCATGCCGGCTGGCCTGCTTCCAAGGCGGCACCTTCCCACCCACCACAGTACAGCACCTATCTCCAAAGGCCTCCACAGAGACCTGAGAGCAAAAACAGCATGAAGGAAGAGTGCAGAAAGAGAGAGAAGGGCAAGTTTCTAAAACAGGCCACGCATCTCCAAAACCGACAGCCAGTTGATACCTTCCAGTGGAAGCAAAGGAAGGGAGGTAAAGCTGAAGCTTGTCCTTACCTCCTCTGACCTGGTCAGGGACTGAAGGAACTTCTTGGATGGTAATTGGTGAATCCACTTCTGGGGACCCGTGCTGTACGCAAGGGGAGCTCCTTTAGAAAGACACAATATTGGAGGGAGGTTGAAAAGCAGTTACAGCAGTGGCCGGAAAACAGTCACGGGCAGGAGTGCCAGAGGCTCTGCAGGCTTCACATTCCCAATCCCCATCACGTGTGAATGTGGGGATCTGCTCAGAAGGGTTGCATTCTACTCTGACTTCCTCTTTAGCCCAACCCAGCTAGAAAAACTGGTTTCACTCAGGTCACTTCCCCCTACATCAGGTGGTGCTAACAGATGGGCAGTTTAGTTTCCCGAGTGGTTTAAATTATGTTCAGGGCTCCCATATTTTCTATACTAGTAGGAGAGACCAATGGCCCAGATCCATAGACTCACATACTTTCTGGGTTTGTGGTATATATCCCTAAGGAATTTAGTCTCCTAATTGTTCTTTGTGTTAGTACACGGAGGATGAGGGCTTCTCTGTTAACCCAGGCCCTCATGCTTGCCAGTCAAATGCTCTAACACTGAGTTAAATGACAAGTCCTCACGTAAGATTGTGTCACCTTCATTCAACTCAAGAATCAAACATGAAAGGAAGGTCCAGAAATGTTTGTTTGAAGATTTTTCTCTTAAAATAAGTGCACAGATGCTCATGTAAGTAAGGTCAACTAAAACAAACATTTGTTTAAATACCAAATTCACAAATGCTGAGAACTTAAATGTCTTTTATTTATCTAAGTTTGGAGATTCAGTTGGTTATTTCACCTCTGAAGAACAGGACAGCTAAGGGGTGCTGAGAAGTACCTGGACAGTGGTGGTGGCAGTCCTACCACCTCGGGGACGAGGGGCACTGTGTCCAGCGTCTGTGAGGTCGTGAGGATGTCACTGATGCTCTGCTCCTGTGGCTGGCTCTCCCCTTCAGGGAGTCTTTCTCCGGCCTCAGCTGGTTCCTGCCCAGCCTCGATCCCAGGTTGGCCTTCAGCCCCTCGCTCCAGGCCTGGCTGTGAGAGTGCAGAGCTGTACATGGAGTCCCCCAGGGGGCGGCTGGTGTCAAAGCACTCAGGCAGGATGATGATATAATCTTCAGAGGAAGCAGAAGACTGACTTTCAACTTCATCTTGGAGATCCTCTTCTTCCTCCTCAGCAATGTGGACAATCTCTTCCCTCTCATCTCCAAGTGGTCCTTCTTCAGGCAAGGCAAATTTCACTAAGGAACAAAAGTAACCCTGTGAAGGAAAAGGCTTAGCAACAAACCTCAGTGCTGCACTCACTTGGCGAGGCCTTGTGAGTCAAGAACTAGCAGAAAAGCCAGAATGGAAAGAACCAGAGGAATGGGCTGCTGCTGCTGAAGCCCTAATTGTATTCTATGTTTCAAGATCATGCCAAAAGAAATAGAACAGAAGTCAGCAGAAACAGGTCTGTGGGCAGAAATAGCCAGGCTTCCTATGAGCATTGTGAGTCTTACAGTCCTCTTTTCTATTCATTAGGACAGCTAACAGACCGAGATAAAGCTTTTTGGTTGATTTTGTTAAAAGAGGGCATAATATCTTATTGTAGATGGTTGTGAGCCACCACATGGTTGCTGGGAATTGAACTCAGGACCTGTGGAAGAGCAGTCAACGCTCTTAACCTCTGAGCCATCTCTCCATGCCCTGAGATAAAGCTTTATCACAACTTGTAAGGTAGCTATCTATCAGGCTCTGAAAAGGTGTCACGTGGTAAGCACTTCAGGTTGTATGCTTGCTTTCCTTCTCCTGGGAAAGTGATGCACAGTCAGAGAACACAAGAAAATTACAGGGGTGGGTAGAAAGGTGCCCCAAGATCATATCAGAGCAGCACTTATGAACAATTTGGTTTATCTTTCCACACCTTTCTGCTTTTTGTATATATGTGTAAAAAAGTCTTCATATGTATGTGTTCACTTTAAGCAAAAATAGGACAATTTTGTTTAAAGGTATATATAGATCAATTTTTTTGAGTATGTATGGTGCCTATTAATTACACCTGTTCATGTCTCTGTGTGTAGGTCAGGGAGGATATCAAGGGTCTGTCTTTATTGTTTCACACCTTATTAGAGACAAAGGCTCTCTCATTTCACCTGAAGCTCAGCATTTTGGTTAGGCTGGCTGGCTATGAGCTCCAGGATCTGCCTGTCTCAGTTCCCCGATGCTGGGGTGACAGGCAGACAGGGTGACAAGCAGAAGGGCTCTGTTTAGATTTTAGGTGAGTACCGAGGACTCAGATTTAGGTCATCTTGCTTACACAGCAAGGACTCTTACGCACTAAGCCATTCCCTAAGCCCTCAGATTTGGTATTATTGTTATTATGTACCAGAAACTGAACTTTTGGGTAGTTTTTGAGACATATAGTACTGGTTCTACTAATTTGGTACTAGTAGTCTGTTGTGAACTAGTAGGTTGTGTATGTGTAAGTGTACAGGTAGATAACTGAACTGTGAATGGAGGACAGAAAAAAGGTCAACACTGGGTGCAGTTCCCTAGAAGCCATCCCCCCATCTTCTTTTGAGACAATGTTTCACTTTGTAGCTGGCTGCAAACTCAAGAGACTGCTTACATCTGTACCTCAAGTGCTAGGATTAAAGGCACATGCTAAAATGTCTGTCCATCTGCCCTACTGTTTGCAACAGGGTCTGCCACATGTTTTTTAGGTGGGTGCTAGGGATTGAGTTGACCTCCTCATGCTTGTAAGACTATCAGCAGCTACCACCAGAACCCATGAAGGTGGTTTCCGTTTGTTTGTTTTTTAAGACAGGGTTTCTCTGTGTAGCTGTGACTGTCCTGAAACTCTCTATATAGACCATGCTGGCCTTGAACTTGAGTTCTGCTTGCCTCTCCCTTCTGAGTGCTGTGATCAAAGGCGTGCGCTACCACCCCTGTGACGAAGGTATTTTTTATGGTAGAATTTATCCCTGGGAAGCAGTCTGGTACTCTGTGTCGTCCCACATTTTTCAGATTGCAGCCCTTGGAAGAAAGCAGAGGGCTCCGTTGCCAACGGGAGCTTCTGCTGAGGAGCTGTCAACTTACAGGAAGAATCCTTCCTGCAGGACCCAGGCGGCACAGCTGGCTGCTGCTCCTCTGTGGACTGCAGCTGGAATTCCCCTGAGAAAGAAAGCGGAGAACGAGTTAGGTGGCTTCTTTGTTCCTGGTGCTCTAATAAGAATGATCAATGTATACACCATTTCAGAGCTTGCCTGTGAGGCTCCTCCTGAAGTTAAGTGCTATGAGCCATTTGGACACAGGGTGGCGGTCATGCTACATCTGAAGTCTAACAGCCAGGGGCTCCTGGCAGACTCCGCAGGTCTTGCCTGTGTATGTGCCCCCAACCCCAGCTGACTCCAGATAAAATGATAACATCTTGCTGTCATTAGATTGGACTCATGTCTGGGATTAATTTGCCTCCTTTGCAAGCCAAAGAGGCCACGCATGTGCAGGGAACCACACAATAAAAGCTGCAAGGCAAAGACTGTCAGAGGAAGTTAAACGTAAAGCATTTTCCTTGCTTTCCCAGACTCTCAACTTGTCACAGATTTTTATTTGCTATTTCATAAAGAAAAATGAAATCATTAAATTCAATTTTAAACAAAACAAAACAAAACAAAAAGAATGATCAATGTGATCAGTTTCCAACAAACATCAGTCTCCCTCCCCTCTCACTATTCAGGTACCACCTTGCTAGCTGGTGGAAATGTAGGGACACTCACTTGGCAGGGACCTCTGCCTACAAGGTGGGTTGTGGTCTGGAGCCGCATCCAAGGTAAGGGATCGGATTACAGTCTCACACACAAACTGGGTCCCACTCAGGTCTTCCTCTGTTTCTTCCACTGAAGCAGGGGCCTCAGTCTTCCTCTTTGCTGATAGAGTGGAATCTGAAAGAAACACAAAGCTTGTCTGTACTTAATGTTTAAAGAGTTGAGAGCTTCACCAATCACTGCATATTAAACCTAGGTGCGGTATGAATAGCTGCTCTTGCTGTCATGAGGGAAGACTGAGAAAGAGTAAGAGATGCTACAGGAATCAATTTGCATGCTGAGGTAAAGTTAATGAGGAATGGGTGTATGAAAATAGGGATGGAACGGGAAGGGAAGGTACAAGTGCTTTACAGATATTTAACCCCTTACCAGGAAGTGCTTTAAATCCCGCCCCTTCACTCTCTTCCTGTATCTGCCCCAAGCCTGGCTTCTCTATTAAAGGACTGTCATGTGGCAGAGGAGACATGCAGGGAGTCATATCTGGAGAATGAAGACAGGAAAACCATCAACTGAGAAAAAGCATGTGTCCAGAAGCAGCAGTCTGTAGGTTTCTTGCTTCCTGTGGAGTTAAAATAAACCTAAATATGCTCCACCACCTGTCATAAAGAACTTCTCCAGATCACCAGAAATGCAACTAGCTCTGACCAATCAATGCTGGGTCACAAACAAGTAAATGGCACAGCAGGTCAAAGCCATATACAAAACCATGAAGGAAGGAACAAAGGGAGAGAAATGAAGAAGGGTTCCTTTACAATAAGGAAGTCCTACACACACTGTACTGTGGCACTGACAGACGACAGGGAGAGGAGATGGACCATGGGTGCAGCTTCACTATCTCATGGGAGAACTCCTCACCCTACTGGGCCTCAGACCGTAATACCAGCACCTAAACACGATGAGCCAAGACATGCTTACCCACAGGGGTGTTGTGGGGCACTCTCTCCAATTCTTGGACAATGTTTATATCCAGCAGCTCAAAGGACAGCAGGTCCTAGAAAAAGAGAAGGCCAAATAAAGATGTCTGTTGCAACTGGACCTACAGCCCTTCTGTACATTGCCTGGATTCAATTCTGTTCAAATTCATGCCCCTCCTCAATCAACTGAAACTAAAAAGAGTTCAATGGGAACCAATATTCTCAAATGTCTAACTAGCAGGGAGGAGAGAGAATCGTCACATGCCCCTTCTCCCTGCTCCTGCCTTCAAGGTGGATTCACTCCTGGTCAGATCAGAGGACAACTTTAGCTGTCTACTCCGTTCTGTATTTGTGAGTGTATTTCCTCAATTTATATCTCTCTTTTTTTTAAAAAAAAAAGATTTATTTATTTATTTAGTATACAGTGCTGTGTCTGCATGGCCAGAACAGGGCGCCAGATCTCATTACAGATGGTTGTGAGCCACCATGTGGTTACTGGGAATTGAACTCAGAACCTCTGGAAGAACAGCTAGTGCTCTTAACCTCTGAGCCATCTCTTCAGCCCCCTTAATTTATATCTTAATAAATCCCTATTACCCATTAAATACTCACATGGATTGATCTTTTTTTTTTTTTAAGATTTATTTATTTATTTATTATATATACAACATTCTGCCACCATGTAACTTTCCACGCCAGAAGAGGGAACCAGATCTCATTACGGATGGTTGTGAGCCACCATGTGGGTGCTGGGAATTGAACTCAGGACCTCTAGAAGAGCAGTCAGTGCTCTTAACCTCTGAGCCGTCTCTCCAGCCCCACGTGGATTGATCTTAATAGAGAGGAAACAGTGGGTAGGCAAGTGAACCAGGCTACCTAATATGAAGAGGCCACTAGAGGGAAGTTGTGGGGAAGCACAAGCCTGAGCTTCCAACTCATGAAGAAACATTTCACAAACTTGCTCCATAGATGACCTCACTCTCACTAAATACAGCTGACTGGATTAAGCCTGCCCAGAAGCATGTATGGCTATCTATCCACCTTCCCTTGTCCCCCAGAGTGCTGACTGTTTACCTGGGCAGTCAGAAGGTCCACAGACGGAATGTACAGTTCTCTCCCATTGGTGACGTTCTGTGTCTTCTGGGAGATACTGTTTCCTGTCCCTTCTATCTGCTTCCTCACTTCAGCCAACGGAATCTCTTCTTCAGCAAGAAGAAAAGCTTCCTATGGAGACAAATAATGGGGGCATTTTAGGACCTCAACAGAGCTCGGGTACCAGCTGACATGTCATCCCTAAAATAAAAACACAGTAGAACCTTCTCATTCAATTTTTAATTTTAATTTAGACTTCTAGAAAAGCTGCAGAAATAGTGAAGAGTTCATATACTGTTCCAAAAAGTAGTTAGCTCAAACCAGGACATTAACACTCATTAGCTCCACTAACAAAAGGAACAGATGAAGGCAGCAAGTTAACAGGCAGGTCTAGATGGCACTGGTACCAGGGAACAAACACACACAGGGGACTCTAGGAGACGAATGTGAAGGGGAAAGCTACCAGTTCACAGGCAGGCCAGGCAGCCCTTTCTCCCCTGGTGCAGCAAGCACCATCACAGACAGTAGCCCTTAGGGTCTGCCTGAACCAACCCTAAGGATGCTACACACCTTGAAGACTAGGCCAAACACCAGCACAAAAATGTACTGGAGGGAAGAATATCCCCCAAATCCCATGTGTTAAAACCTTGGCCCCTAAGCTGGACAGTAGTGGTACACAACTTTAATCCAGCACACTAGCCTTTAAACTCAGCACTTAGGAGGCAGAGGTAAGAGGATCTCTGACTTTGAGGCCAACCTGGTCTACAGAGTGAGTTCTAGGACAGTCATGGCCACACAGAGAACCCTGTCTCAAAAAACGTAAAGCTTGACCTCTAGAGGCATGGTATTACTAGACAATAAACACAAGGGGGAGCCTTCTCTGAGGTCCTTAGGTCACTGTGGGTATGTTGGGACTCTGGTCCCTTCCTCTTTTCTTCCTGGCCCTGAGTGGCTCTCTCTCTCTCTCTCTCTCTCTGCCAGTATAGTCTAATACCTCAACTAGAGGCCTACAGCAATAGGTCTGTCTAATCATGGACCAGAAGCTCTAAAACTGTGAACCAAAAGAACTCATTCTCTTTGTACATTAATTATCTCAAGTATTTTGTCAAGGTGATGGAAAACTCAGAAACAGTAAACTTCCAGAAAGTCTGGAAGAATAGCAAGCTATGAATGAGTTTTTTTAGGTTCAGGTTCCCAGGGTCCGTCTGTGTCAGTCCTTAGCAAGAGCTAGCCTCAAACTCGCAATACTCTTGCTTCAGCCTCTCATGCATGGAATATAGGCCTGTGTCACAAAGCTGGACGTTCCCCATGACTGAGGAAATAATCTGGTAACTGGGGCAAGGCTGACAGTGTAAGTGCTCACCTCTTGCTCACAGGTGAGATCATCAGCTTTGCTTGAGGTGATCATGCCCCTTTCCACGTTATCAGGGCTATCAGAAGAGGGGAAAGAATCCACTATGATACTGCACCAGACCCGAGGCCCAAACTGCTGGCCTTTGTGCGAAAGACGCCAATGCGAAGTGTATGTTCCCTCTAAGGTTGGAGCGATGAACTCCACAGACACAACTCCCACATGGCCAGCCTTCAAGCAGGGAACCACAACATCCTTCTTTTCTGCAGAAGCCAATGTCAAGTTTCCCCACATGAACTTGAGCTGAAAAGAACAAGAGAAAGCTTGTCACCATGTCCTTTGCTACTGTGCGTCACTGTCTTTCCATTTAGTGAGCAAAAAGATACCTTTGTGTCTGCACTCCACTTCACATTTCCTGTGTTTTTCATCCTCCAGTGTTTGATAAACTTGGTTCCTGGCTGAAGATGCGTCCCGTCAGGCAAATTCTCATCCACAAATGCTGCACTGAGCGTTGGCATAACTGGGGCACAGGGCTGCAAAGGAAGCCTGGACAGAAATCCAGATGCTTAGTTACCTGCTGTTGGGTATGATGGCTTCTGAACACGCCCCACTGTGATTCAAGAGGCTGACTGCTTTTTAAGGATGCACTAATACATCTGCCTTAAAAACTAACACTAATTGGTCCCATGAGAAGGCTCAGCAGGGAAAGGTACTTGCCACGCCAGCCAGAGTGAGTGACCTGAGTTCAATCCCCAGAATGAACAAAGGTTAGAGAAAAGAGAACTGACTCCACAAAGTTCTTTGACCTCAACATGCATGTCATGGCACATGTGTGTGTACACACACATGTGCACTAATAAATACAATAATAGCCAGGTGGTGGTGGCGCACACCTTTAATCCCAGGACTCAGGAAGCAGAGGCAGGCAGATCTCTGTGAGTTCAAGGCCAGCCTGGTTTATAGAACGAGTTCTAGGAGAGCCAGGGCTGTTACACAGAAACTCTGTCCTGAAAAACCATAAATAAATAAAATAAAAATTAAGACTAATAAAAATCTTGTGTGCATACATGTGTGTAAAAGGTAGTGCTAGGAATCAAACTCCAGGCTAGAAAACAGACACGATGCCTTAAGGGATAATTAAAAGTGTCCATAAATACAAATGGAAACTTGTTCTTTTGCTTCCAATCCAGCCAGATTGCCTCCAGAGAAGAGAAGTCTGAGCCACCCCCATTCAAAGTCTTAATACTCTCTAGCTTTCTGAATAAGGCATCAAAGTGAGTGTCAGAAATAACTCCTGAACCAGCCTGGACCAGACAACGGGAAGCTTGGAACAGGTGAGTGCTAGGAGACACAACAGGTAAGACACAGGATGGCTTCAGCCTTGGAGAGCTAGCCCAAGCCACACTCCCGCTGGCCTGGGACTTACATCAGGGCGTTGGACTGCAGCAAGCTCTCAGGTCGGCCTAAAGGGGACCTGGGACTCTGGAGTCCATGGATTGAATTCCACAAATGAATCTTCCTGTGGAGTTTAAGCTGCTTTTTAAGCTCCTTGACCTCTGCTTTCCGCTGTTTCTTCTCAGCACGCAACCTTTGCTTTTCTGCTTTCACAAAGTTCTTATCCACCTGTTTCTGGATCCTGTGGGATAATGAATGAATGTCTTGAAACACAAAAAAACATCGAAGCAATTTGAAGCTACGTAAATCCATCAATGGCTAGCATCTAGTTTCTTAATTTCTTTTGTAGTCATCATTTCCACTTGATGAAAATCAGACAACTGTTTCATTATTACACATCAATTGAAAAGGAGCAAAATAAGGAGTCTATCAGCAATTTTGTGATATTATATAATATCATTGCATTTTTCTTTTGTTTTGAGATGGTCTCACTATGTAGCTCAGTCCAGCTTGGAACTCAGGACAGTTCTGAATGCTGGGCATCTCAAATATTTAAAAGATTTATTTATTTATTTGCACACAAGATTTTGCACACAAGATTTTGCCAGAAGAGGGCACCAGATCTCATGACAGATGGTTGTGAGCCACACCATGTGGTTGCTGGGAATTGAACTCAGAACCTCTGGAAGAGCAGTCTTAACTACTGAGCCATCTCTCTAGCCCCGATTTATTTATTTTTAATTCATGTGTATGAGCATATGCCTGCATGTATGTATGTGTACCACATGTGTGCTTGATGCTCACAGAGGCTAGAGATGGATATCAGATCCCCTGGAACCGGAGTGTTAGATGGTTGGTTGTGAGCTGCTATGTGGGTGCTGGGAACTGAATCCAGGTTCCTCCACAAAAGCATCAAGTCCTCTTAGTGCTCCTAATCACTGAGCCATCTTTCCAGCACAAATCAGGTAATGTTTTTTTTCAAGACAGGGTTTCTCTGTCTAGTCCTTGCTATCCTGGAACTCACTCTGTAGACCAGGCTAGTCTCGAATGCAGCAATATGCCTGCCTCTGTCTTCTAAGTGCTGGGATTAAAGGCGTGCACTACCATTGCCTGGCTTACATCAGATATTTTTAACATCAGCATGTTGTGTCAGCAGAATCAAGAAGTCAAGCAGAAGAGCACCCACAAGTGTATGGCTTTACCTGATTTGTTCAAGAGCAGGAGGCAGACGAGGAGTAGGACCCTTTAAGTGGGAAAATGGGTCGGAGGGAATCACAACAGGTTTCCGAAACTTTAGCAGGACGTGGCTACGGCTATGGGCATACGGCCCCCCTTCACAATCTTCACAAAGGTTGTAGGCTGGGCACACGCTGTGTGAAAAGAACAACACAGTGAAAACGTCACAGCAGGAAGTCCCTGAAGTAGAGGGGAACAAGATCACACTTTATATCTGCTCCATGACCAGCAAGTTGGTGACTTGGTTATGTGGAGCCTATGCTAAAACGACAAGAGTAACTCCTAATCACACCTATCTTCATGAAATAGTTTATAGGAAGAAGATACAAGAACGTTTTGACCAAGGGGAGGGGTCTATCCTAAGTGATCCAATTTTGACTGAGGGAACTTAATTTTGCCTGATTCTGTTCATTCAAATGTGTAAATGAAAAGCACTTGTAATAGTTTCCAGTTACATATCCCACAAGACATGTACACATCCCACAAAATGAGAAGTAGTTTGTGCTTCCAAATCCAAGCCACATCACCTACTGCTCAAAGACAGAAGATGTCCAGCTTCCCTTCAAGTCCCCAGAACGCTAGGGCAGACACTGCCTCTACCCAGGAATCACTTACCTGCACTGGTAACGCACACCTATGATCCTTCTGTAGCAGTGATTGCAAGCAAGATGCCAGTTGAACTGGTCCTTTGAAACAGGCATCGAGACTTCCGAGGCCGACTTCTGGAGGAACAGCTTCTCCCGCAACCTCTGTTCAAGCTTCTCAACAGTTTCCTTAACCACTTGTTCTCTGAACTACAAGGCAGAGCAGAAGGTGGGGGAAACTCAGTTCCAGCACTGGACCAAGTGAGAAGAGAACAGCAACCCTCAAGTGTCCCTGTCTCTGGTGATACTTAAGAACATGGCTGACGGCTGCTGGAGGGAAGAACAGAGATGTTACAGGTCTCTTCCTTTCATGGCTAAGCTGACTGTGTCTGGAAATCACCAGCTGCCATCTGCCTTTCACCCACAGCAGCGGCCGCAGCCATCTGGGTTCAGCTTTCTCCCTGTGCCAACAGAGCTGCTAAAACCCAAGTTGGAGAGAACACTCACCGTTTCCAGGTAGCTTGTGAACCAGTCTGGGGGCTTGTCATGAGGCTGGTCCGTGTCACAAGGAGCACGTGGACATGGCTGTGAGAAAATACAACCCAAGACCTTGGAAGTTATTTTTCAAAAGTAATTCTTCGAAAATGTGTTATTTTCAGGTTTCTTTTATCAAATATCGTAAGTATGTAGTTTTTAAAAGTTACAGTATGAGGGGCTGGAGAGATGGCTCAAAGGTTAAGAGAACTGGCTGCTCTTCCAAAGGTCCCAAGTTCAATTCTCAGCAGTGTCATCATGGCTCATAACCATCTATAATGAGATCTGGTGCCCTCTTCTGATGTGCAGGCAAAACATGCAGCAGAATACTGTATACACAATAAATAAATCTTCAAGAAAATATTACAGTGTGAAGGAACACAAGAGAAAAATAAAAAGTGTTTTCTAGTTTCTTCTCTTTCTCCAGAGTAAACCAGAGATGCCAGTTCTTCAGATCCCAATGGTGGACATAACCCCCAGTCTTTGTGAACATGTGTATGGAGTGTGCTCACATGCGGAGGCTGAGCACAATCTTGGGGGTTATTCCTCAGGCACTGTTTACCTTTGTCTCTTTGAGGCAGAGTCACTTACTGGCCTGGAAACAGCCAACTAGGCGAGGCTGCCTGGCCTGTCACCTCAAAGGCTCCTTTCTGCGCCCCTTTGGTGCTGAGATTACACATAGGCAGCACACCTGGCTCTTTTGTGAGTACAGGCATGTATGTGGAGATCAGGACAGCAGTGGATGCTGGTTCTGGCCTTCCACTTTGTGTGAAAGAGGACTCTCTTTTGTTGTGCACCACTGCACATGCCAAGCTAGCTGGCCTGTGATTCAGAAATCCTCGTCTCTGCTTTCCATCTTGCCACAGGAACACTGGGATTACAGATACATCAGGTTTACAGACATGACACTATGTCTGACTTTATGTGAACGCGGGGGATTTGAACTCATGTATTTAATGCTTGCACAACCTCTTTACCCAATAAGCCATCTTTCCAGCTTTTGTTGTTTTTTTCTTTTTTAAATAAGGGTTCTGGGGATCAAACTCAGGCTCTTGTGTTTGCAACGCTACCTCCCCAGGCTCCCTGCCCAAATCTTGGATGACTATGCAAACGGTGTGTAAGAGACAACGACAATAAAGGTTAGAGTTGGGAGGACAGGCCCACCCTCTGCATACCTGTGCCACAGGCTCCTCTGCGGTCTTCACATCTGATCCCAAGACTCTCACCACTGAAGAATAATGTGCAAGCGGCTTCTTCCCTTTCCTGGCAGGCGCTTGCTTTTCTACTACAATTTGAGGGAATGCTTCGTCTACAACATGGTGCCCTTCATGGACTTGCATCTGTAGTAGGTTTCCTTGCTTAAGGATAGCCATCTGAAAGCATGTTACAAGAGCATGTTAACAAAATAAAAATACACCTCACTTCATTTTCCAAATGAAACGTCAAAGCATGGAAATACAGAAGTATAGTAAACTATGCCATGATTTTTGCTAGCATTTCTAAAGAATAGCCTGAGCACTAAACCTCTGGGGTAATGACATGATGCCAGAAGTGGAAAACTAGCACCTGGCATTTTATGATCAGTAGTACTCAAACTATTGTATACTAAGAAAACTACAGAAAATTACCTGTAGACTATATAAAGTATGAGACAAATAAATTTTAAATTTAGTCTTGGGACCCATTCCTAAGATATCTCATTATGAATGTACAAATATTGCCACCCCCTACCCACACAAGTAGAGGCATGTCAGGTTCCAAGGGCTTTGGATAGAGACGAGACAGTCTACCTCCACATTAATATCTAGCCTGCTGTTAAGAAGAATATAAAGAATATTAACTACAAATGGCTTTATTATGTTAAAATTTGAGGAAATTTCTATGTGAGATTTTTCCATTAACAAGGTTCTCCTTTAATTTTCTTGTCTGTCTGTTTTGACATGGAGTCTGCCTGGGGTGGCCCCTGCTTCAAGGTCTTCCTGTTTCACCTTCTAATTACTACAATTATAGGTGTGCACTACCACGTCTGGCTTTTAACTGGTTGTTCTACAAGGTATTAACTCTAATCTCAACTTTCTAAAACACAAAACTCAATTCCAGACTAGCACCAATCACGGAAACTTCAAGCTGTGTTCTATAGCTAAGCATTTACTTTTCACTAACTTCGTATTTTATTTTTATTTATTTATATATTTTTATTTTATAATTAACTTAATTTCACATATCAGCCATGGATTCCCCCATCCTCCCAATCGTCCCCCACAATCCACCCACCATTCCCACCTCCTCCAAGGCAAGGTCTCCCCTGGGGAGTCAGCCCAGCCTGAGGTAGGTCCAGTCCTCTCCTCCCTACACCAAGGCTGAGCAAAGTGTCCCAGTACAGGCCCCAGGCTCCAAAAAGCCAGCCCATGCACCAAGGACAAGTTCTGGCTCCACTGCCTGGGGGCCTCCCAAACAGTTCAAGCTAATCAACTGTCCCACTTATCCAGAGGGCCCAGTCCAGTTCCATGGGGGCTCCTCAGCCATTGGTTCACAGTTCATGTGTTTCCACTAGTTTGGCTATTTGTCCCTGTGCTTTTCCAAATCATGGTCTCAATATCTCTTGCTCATACAATCCCTCCTCCCTCCCTCTTTCTTTCTCCTTCCCTCCCTCTCTCTGTCTCGCTCGCCCATTGGGCTCCCGGAACTCCCCCTGGGGCTCGGGCATGGATCTCTGCATCAGCTTCCATCAGACACTGGATGAGAGTTTAATATGACATCCAAGGTGTTTGGCCATCTGATCACCAGAGCAGGTCAGTTCAGGCACTCTCTTGTCCATTGCCAGTAGACTACAGTGGAGGTATCTCGTGGATTTCTGGGGACCTCTCTAGCACTCTGCTTCTTCCTATTCCCCCAGGGTCTTCATTCATCATGGTACCTCCCTCCCTGTTTTCCCACTCGGCTCCTGATCCAGCTGGTACCTCCCGCTCCCCTAAGCTCTCTTACCCCCACCCCCAGTTTGCTCATGTAGATCTCATCCATTTCTCTGTCGTTGGGTGATCCCTGTGTCTTTCTCAGGGTCATCTTTACTAGGTAGCCTCCCTGGAGTTGCTAGATGCCCTTCAACTGAAGAATGGATAAAGAAAATGTGGTACACATACACAATGGAGTACTACTCAGCAGAGAAAAACAATAACATCATGAGGTTTGCAGGCAAATGGATGGAACTAGAAAAAATCATCCTGAGTGAGGTAACCCACACTCAGAAAGACAAATCTAGCATGTACTCACTCATAAGTGGATACTAGATGTAAAGCAAAGGATAACCTCGTATTTTAGAAAGCAAGTTTAAGTAGTTGCATCTTCCTAATCATGTTTTTGGAAACTCCTTCAAGTAGTTTTGCTTTCAGTATTTAAAAAAAATAGGGACCAAATGGCTAGAATTCTATCCACCTCTGTCTCATGTTTTTCCTTTACCTTTTTATACAATAGACTTAAGATTCCACTTAAACTAACAATCCGTTTGTAACTATGTCGACTGATGGATGGGCTAACAAGTTGTTTTAATTAGAATGAGATACAGAGCACATGCCTAGCATGCAGGAGGCCCTGAATTAGAACATCATTGAAAAAAAAAACAAAAAAAAAAACCAACAACCTATATTCTTGTTGAAGTAAGGTTTTGCTCTGTTGCTCAGGTTATCTCTAAACTAGGTTCAAACAATCCTGCCATCTCTTCTTTTTTTGTTTCTGGGACAGTTTTGTCACATAGCCAAGGATGGCCTCAAAGTCACTTTGTAGCTTAAGTTGTCTTTGATTTCAATGGTCCGGGTACCTTGGCCTCCCGGGGCTGGGATTCCAGAGGTGGCCCCCACACCCAGTCTTCTTTTCACATGAGATGGGGCCCCAAGGCCAGCAACGAGATGACATAACAACACAGACTGTGTGCTGTGAACATGTGTGGCTCCACTGGGTAATAAAGAAAGCTGTTTACAGCCAGGTGGGAATCCAAGCACGACACAGAGAGAAGGGCGGGGTTGGGGGAGATGCGAGCCCTCTGCCACAGGAGCAACAAGATGTCAGCAGACCCGTGACCCCACGGCCAATGGAAACGGGTTAATTTAAGATGACAGCTAGCTGGCAAGAAGCTAAAGCCATAGGCCGTACAGTTTGTAATTAATATAAGCCTCTGAGTGATCGTTTTATGGGCAGCTATGGGACTGCGGGTGGGAGAGGTTCGTCCGGACTGCTGGGCCAGGCAGGGCCGGAGAAATTTCCATCTGCAGTTCCTGTATTAGGAACTGCCTGCTGCTGAGTCGCACACCTACTTACCATCGTCTCCCTAACAAAATGGGTGTCATTCTATTTATTCTTAGTACTTTCCAGTGGAGTTTAGGTTTCAATAAAGATTTTTCAAATTACGTGAAAATAAAATGAAGTAAACATTACCTTAAGTGCTTCTTCATATTCTCCTAAAGGGACGAAAATGAAAGAAAACAACAACAGTGACTCACTAATTTTTACCAGCCCTAAAGATTCTATTGGCTACCGTCAATCCTACAGTTGTTTGCTTTTTTGGGAGGAGTGAGGGTGGGGGTGGGGGTCTAACTACGTAGCCCAGGCTGGCTTCAAACTCATAGTCCTTTGTGTATTGTGATTACAGAAGGGTAACACCATGCTTAGCTAATCCTATAGCTCTAGTATCCAACGTGAAGACTACAGTTAATAGTAATGGATTGTATTTAAGGATTTTGCTATAGTAGAGTTCAGCTACTCTCACCTCGAAGTGGCAGAGGCAGGGTGTGGGATGGTAACTGTGAGATGACACATATTTTCATTTCTTTCACTGAAATAACCTTTTAAAACCATCTGTATATATTTCATATCAATGTTATACATCTTAAAAATATAAAGTTTACTTTAAAAAAGTAAACCCAATCCTATACAAATTCTTAGAATCCTTACATATGGACAATCACTACGTTTTTGCTAGACACACTTCCTTCTTATTGTTGTATGGTGCTTTTCCTTCCGGTCGTAACATTCTTGGCCCCTGCCCCCATAGCTAAGACAATCAGAACACAGCAATACAGTGGTAGCCAGAATTCTGATATTCCATGAAGGTGTCTGGAGAATCTTGCCTGAGATTCCAAGTCCCTTCCCCAACCTATTTACAAAGTGAAAGAATGGCTAAAAATGGGATTCAATAATGCAGTGAGATTGCAAACCATGATGAGGTAGGATTTTGCAGTGATGTAGTTGTTTGGGGGTTATCCATACTCCTGTATGTAACTCTGCTCTGCAAGAAGATCTGGACTTTGGTGAGTTTGTGCTTTGATCTGTTATTGGTGCCTACCTGGGATGGCTGGACTTTGTTTGCGCCTCCCCAGGAAAAATGAATGCAACACTTACCCACTGCAAAGAGAAACTATTACAAAGCATCTTCCTCTTAAGTCCCTCAGTGCTGCTGCAGCCTTCTAGGTGCAAGATATCCACCCAGCTCCTCTAACTATGTTCCGTGAAGCACAAGATTCAGTGGAGTTTCTGGATTGTGTTAAGACTGTCTAACATCTTACCTGGCTCAAATAATGTTTTAGGGACTAAGATATGGACTATAACCAACCATCTAATAAACATGGGAACATAGTTTGCTTATGCATTGAAATTCACATATGTGTCTGGTCAGAACAAATACAACAGCAGAATGAATTGTATGTGACAAACTAGGTGCATATTATTTTCAGAGGATTAGCATCTTAAATATAAAGTTGGATAAGGCCTGTCCTTATGATCCATGCAAATGAACTAACTTCTATTAAAAAAAAAAAAAACGGTCTACAATAAAAATCCCTTATGAGGGGCTGGAGAGATGGCTCAGAGGTTAAAAAGCACTGACTGCTCTTCCAGAGGTCCTGAGTTCAATTCCCAGCAACCACATGGTGGCTCACAACCATCTGTAATGAGATCTGGTGCCCTCTTCTGGACTGCTATCATACATGCTGTATACATAATAAATAAATCTTAAAAAAAAAAAAAAAATTCCCTTATGAGGGTGGGGATGTAGTTGAGCTGGTAGAGAGCTTGCCTAGCATGCACCAAGCCCTGAGTTTGATTCCTAATATTTCATAAAGTGGGGGGTGGAGGCATAAGCCTGTAATCTCAGTACTCAGATAGAGGCAGGAAAATCGTATGTTCAAGGTCATCTTAGGCTACACACTGACTTTTATGCCAGACAGGGCTACCTCCTGAGACCCTGCCTCAATTAGGAAAAAAAAAATGAAAAGAAAAATCTCCTACGAAACTAATGCCCACAGTACAATGTTAATTTACAGCATACCAAATTCTATTCTAAAATGTATGCCAGAGCAAAACATGGTTGAAATAGAAACACTTCTATGAGCAGATAAATTTGTTTAACTATGTAGCTCAGATTTCCCTTAAACCTGAAATTCTCCTGCCTCAGCCTCCTCAGGACTTGACTTGCAGATAGATACTACCATGTCAGGCAAATTTTAGATACAGCTGACTAGATTTTTTTCAGGAACTCACCTTGACTATTGATGGATACCTATGAAGAGAAAAAAGCAACAGTGAATGCTGGGTCTCATCACCTGAGGATTTATGTAACTAGAGCCAGTCTCACGCCAAAGTCCCAGGCCAGGCGTCTAGTATTTCCACTACTATTTAAGTAATGTGCTTTGTTTTATCTTAGGGACATTAACAGGTAGCACAGTGTACGATGATAATGTACCAGATACACAGTACTGCTAGTCTGGTGCATTATCCACTGAGTAGAGTCCCTATTAGCATCATCATCATCAACTAAAAGACAGCCTTGTTAGAGTTTTAGGTTCTCTCTCTGATAGTCTCCATATTGCTTTCCCATTTCTCAGCTCCATCTCAGATGCCACTAATCTTCATAAAGTATGAGATTATCAAATATATTTAAACTATCAGGTAAATGAAATAACATTATTCTTTACCTTTTTGTCTTGTCCCCTTATGGCTGAGATAGTACTTGGTTCTAAAGCCCAGGTTGGCCTTAAACTACCTGGATCCTCATGCCCCAGTCCCAAGTACTAGAAATACAGGTGTGAGCCATTACAATGCATTTTATTCTGAGCTTTTTAAACTCTGTATCACTCCCGAAAAGATCCCTATTCTAAATATTTACAGGGGGAGGGGGGACGGGGAACGGGGACACATACAACACATGGACGGGACGACAGTTATTTTACCTCCTCATTTTCCTCATCCAGGTATTTTATTTGAATATTATTCAGATCAAATGAAACTTTTACCTGCAAATGAAACACAAGGATCAGATGAGTGTATCTCAGTGTATAAAATTGAGTATTTTAATTTAATTTTTTTTTCTTTTTGGCCTGGGGGTGCTGGTTTGGTGTGGACCTTCCCAAGACCACAGCTTTTTTTTTTTTAATATTTATTTATTTATTCATTTATTCATTCATTCATTTATTTATCTCATTGTTTTAGGAGTTTTATTCCAGAAATTCAGAACAAACTGTTGGCAAATGAATAATAATACAGAATAGTCTTCATGGATAGTTGAATATTTAGAGAATAACTGAGGTATAAAGAATGTGTTTATGAGCACTATTGTTAGCCAGCACACCTTCCTCAGTGGGCAGGTGAAGGAAAAAACAACTGCATTATTCAAGGTTCTCTACCTGAAAAGGACTGGTGGAATGAATCTCTCTATGTCTGAACAAAATGGATTTATTAGAATGTCTCACAAACTGTGGTTCAGGTAGTCCATCAATGGCTGCTACCAATGGAAATTTGAAGAATTCAGTAGTTGTTCAGTTCATGAGGCTGTATATCTCAGCTGGTCTTTAGTATATACAATTCTAAGGAAGTAGGCTCTAATGCTGGTAAAAGAATGAACTTGGAGCTGGGCGGTGGTGGCATACGCCTTTAATCCCAGCACTTGGGAGGCAGAGGCAAGAGGATCTCTGTGAGTTCAAGGCCAGCCTGGGCTACAGAATGAGTTCCAGGAGAGATCTGCCTGACTCTGCCTCCCAATGCTGGGATCAAAGGCGTGTACCATGGCTGCCCAGCCCATTAATGTGTTTTTAATTTTCTTTCATGAATATGGGTGTTTTGCCTTCACGTATCTGTGCATCAGGTACATGCCTGGTGCTGGAAAAGGCCAGGATAGGTCATCTCATGTTCTAGAACTGCAGTTACAGATAGTTGTGAGCTGCCACCTGGAGGTTAGACATCAAAGTGGGCCCTCTAGAAGAGCAGCCAGTGCTCTTCAACACTGGGCCATCTCCCTAGGTGACATCTAAAAACCTAAAATCAGGGCTAATGAGATGGCTTAAGTAGTACAGTACTTGTTGTATACAATATACACAAGCCTGATAACCTGAGTTTGCTCCCCAGAAAACACATAATGGTTAAAGGAAGGAGCAATCATACACATACACACACACAAATTTTAAAAGTTCAAAATCACATTTCATCTTTGGATAGAATCCACCCTATAGAACAATATGTAAGTTATCCATACTCAGAGATGCAGGTCCTGTTTTGTTTTGTTTTTTTTAATATTGTGAAAAGAAAGAAAATCCTGGTGGGGAAATCAGTAAGTAATGGTTACATCCATAGTGTTCAGCAACATTAGCAATGCCGTGGACTCAGTTTAAGAAGACTGAGCTTGCAGGGCGGTGGCTCACACCTTTAACCCCAGCACTCGGGAGGCAGAGGCAGGCACATCTCTGTGAGTTGAGGCCAGCCTGGTCTACAGAGCGAGTTCCAGGACAGGCTCCAAAGCCACACAAAGAAACCCTGTCTCGAAACAAAACAAAACGAAAAGACTGAGCTTTACTCTGCGTCTATTGATTAAAAACTATGGCTACAATATAATGCTGAGTAAGAAAAGCAAGCTGTAGGACAGTGTTTCCTGTGACCCTAGCATGAAACCTGCATGAACACGGAACATGGAAATGTGGGGAAGTACTCAGGGCTGTCACCTCCAGTTATTCAAAGGAGGTATGGAGAGCAGATACAGGGTAGGAATTTGTGGACAGACATTATCTCCTTACATGTTAAGATTGTTTCAGGGCTGGAGAAATGGTTTAGAGGTTAAGAGTATTGACTGCTCTTCCAGAGGTCCTGAGTTCAATTGCCAGCAACCACATGGTGGCTCACAACCACCTGTAATAAGGTCTGGTGCCCTCTTCTGGTCATACATGCTGTATACATAATAAATAATAAATCTTTTTTTAAAAAAAAAAAAAAAGATTGTTTCATGTCTTATAATGGGCATGTATCACCCTTTTATAATTTAAACTTTTACAATGAAAGAAAAAGGCAAGTTGCCAACTTACCCAGCTACTAGGGAAAAAAAGATAACTGGTGCTCATATCATTTTCAAAGGTCCCACTGCTTTCCCAATAACCATCTGCCTAGCACAGTAGAAAGAGAAATCTGGGGAAGGCAGGGGACTAGACTAACATTTCCTTCCTTTTAAGCTACCCACACAGGTAACCAGGTCGAGACATGTCTGTAACCAAATGTTACATTAAACACAGGTGCCAAATAGTAAAACATTGACCAAGGCAAGTCAAGGAAACCAGCAGGGTACAAAGAGCAAGTCAAGATTAGAGAAATGAGGTGTAGAAACACCCATGGGGCTTGGCTTTGCTTTCTGCCAACACCAAGATAGCCAACCTTTGACCCAGCAATAAAGCAACTGGCAGGTCTTGCCAAACGCCAGTCCTATCCCGGCATTAACAAACAGCAGTGATGATCTGCTCTCCAGCCAAACAACATTCCCCTACAGCCTGGCTGGGGTGGAGGACACACTAACTTATCCCTCAGACTATTTCTAAAATAAGTATGTTTCTAAATCCGATTTCACTTAAAAAATAATTTTACCTGAGTTTGATACCTGGGACCCATGCGGTAGGAGAGAGCCAACTCCTGAAATTTACCCCGACTTTTGCTCCCTCTCAAAAAATAAATATATGTAATTTAAAAAATATTTAAAAGAACATAATTGTTTCTTCCTTTTATCCTGGTTACACATCCTATACAAATACTGAACCCCTGTCAAAAACAATTTTTCAAGATGTCCAGAAATGGTAATGAGGACAAACTTGGCAGTTAGGAAACCAACTGCTAAAAATGGGCACATTTTGAAAGAATATCTGTGTTTAAGGCACTGAAAAGCAGAACAAAGCGATACTCACCATAGCTTCAACATCAGCCCAAGTTGTATTTGCTGGATCCGAAACCAGAAAGCTTTGAGTTTCATTTTTAAAAGTCACATTTAGAGTAACCTGTGGTTCCATGCTGTGAGGTGGGGCTGAGAGACGGATGGAAGGAAGAAAGAGAAGGGATTAAAAACCCACAGAGACACATTAGGTTTAACATGTAAGTTAGATTTGGGAGATCATAGTGAATAGGAGAAACAATGTCCCTCCTGTGACATTATTTACTCTCTAAGTAGTTATCTACCAAATCTCACTGTTACAGAAGAATTTTTCTTTCTCTGAAATAGACACTAATGCTCAAGCTAGGCCATAAAGGTTTGCACTTATGCTATAGAGTTAAACTCAATCAGAACATCCACGTTAAAAGTAAAAGCCACATTAGGCACAACGGCACACACCTGTAGTCCCAGTTACTCAGCAAGTTGAAGCAAGATGATATAGTTGGAATCCAAGAGTTCTAGGCCAGCCTAGGAAACAAGGAAATGCTGTCTTTAAAAGAGGTGGGGAGTGGGGAGGAGAGATAAAAGTCTGCAGAAAGAATTTAAATTTTGGCCAGGCGGTGGTGGCACACGCCTTTGATCCCAGCACTAGAGAGACAGAGGCAGGTGGATCTCTGTGAGTTCAAGGCCAACCTGGGCTAGAGATTGAGTTCCAGGAAAGGCGCAAAGCTACACAGAGAAACCCTGTCTTGAGAAAGGGGGAAAAAAAAAAAAAAGGAAAAAAATTTAAATTTTGGCCATATCCACAAGAACTCCCCCAACAGGTTTTAAGTCTCTAAGGTTTTCACTGTATATTCCAGCGCTTAGTTAGTATCTGCAGTGTGAGCCAACAAGATGGAGAACAGAGACAAGGTATCTTCACTTGGGGAGCAGAGGCAGAAAGAAATTCCAGTTTTAGACAGTCCATTCAAGAATAGTCCAGGCTACAGAATGAGCACTTGTGTCCAGAAGACAAGCAAGCAACCCCCCCCCCCCCAAAAAAAAAGCCCAAACACAAACAATAACAAACTTGTGGAAAAAGCTCTCCAGAAGTAAAGAAAGTTACATACTTGGACTGCTCCACCTTACTCTTAGTTCCCTAGACCAAATTTTCCTAGATTCCTTTGATAACACTGTTAAGGTCAGCAAAATAGTCTTTGTTTTACAGATTAAACAAGTGTGGTAGAGCTGTATCTGGGACCCAAGTCTTGCCATCCTGTCTTTAAAAGACATGGGGGGTGGGGTTGGGGGAGATAAAAGTCTGCTGAAAGAATTTAAATTTTGGCCACATCCACAAAAACTCTCCTAACAGGTTCCACAATTAGCAACTAGGAGTGAATTTTGTTATCCAGCATTCCTTCCTTTTAGTGTAAGTCTGTGTTTGTGTCGCTGAGGTGACAAAGGGGCCCGGATGCTAGGGAGCCACTCTACCATTGAGCTAAAAACTTGCTCCATGACAATGTCTCTCTTGACAAAGTATTCATCTTTTCTTCCATAAATATTTGTAAAATGAGAAAATTTAAAAAAATACCATTATCAGGCTTAAGGAGTTAGCAATTTTTTAATCAAATACCTACTATTAAAATCTAGTTGACTTTACTGAAGGACTTTGCTTACTGATGAACTGTGACTTTAGGGAAAATATAGTTGAAGTTGTTTAAAGCTACAAAGCAAAGACACTGGCAAAAAAAAAGTCCCCTCTTCAAATATTCAGCACATTTCCAATCTGCACATAGAAAGAGCCAGATTTTGCTCCACACACAAGAAATGAACAAGATCAAGTCCTAGATGTTTCCAGTATCACAGGAAGGGGGAGCCAACAGGGTGGGAAGACTTGGGTCCCAGGTACAGCTCCACCACAGGACTAGCCATGTTAGCTGTGAGCAAGACTGTTTATTTCTGAGCTTCACTTGTTGAATCTGTAAAACAAAGACTATTTTGCTGACCTTAACAGTGCTATCCAAGGAATCTAGGAAAATTTGGTCCAAGGAACTGGGAGTAAGGTGGAGCAGTCCAAGTATGTACAAAGCTGTCGGGTCAATTTCCAGCACCACAAAGTATGTAGGATTCTTTGAAACAGTGTTCAAATATGAAAATTATTTATTGTAAGAAATAATTCTTTAGTTCCTTAAGATATCTTTTTTTTGTTTTGTTTTTTTTCAGACAGGGTTTCTCTGTGTAGAGACCAGGCTGGCCTCTGCCTCCTGAGTGCTGGGATTAAAGTAAAGGCATGGGCTACCACCGCCCCACAAGATATCTTATTATTATTACTTTTTTTGGGTGGAGGTGGGGGGGCAGACATCTCACTCTGTAGCCCAGGCTAGCCTGGGAATTCTATGTATGTAGACCAGGTTCTAACTCACAGAGATTTGCCTGCTTTTGCCTCCAGAATGCAGCACTGTGAATACAACTGTTAAGAACCTTGTATTCTTAATCACAGATTATTTTAGAGACTCAATTATCCAAATTTTCCATGCCTTGACTTCATCTAGAGTTAAGTTCAGTGCCAAAGTAATACTAGTCTCTAGCACCAATCCTGTTGACGTCCAGCATTCATTTACTTAAAATGCAGTTCTTCTTTAGGATCTTTAAAATTGAGATAGAATCCCATCAATCCCCCAGGATGTTAGAGGTTTTTTGTTGTTGTTGTTTTTGTTTTTTTAAATCAGGAAAATGAAGTGACTGAGTTTGTCAAAAGTAAAATTTCTGTAATGCACTCTGACTTTCCAACTTCAAGAAATACACTTCCACACTTTTCTGCCTGGAAGGGAACTAATCTTCCCCGTTCTCAAATTACACGAGTGGGAATTGGTTTCCATACTTTGGAGTTCATCCAGCTGCTCTGTCAATGGGAGAAAACAGGAAATGGGAGAGTCGAGTCTGGCTGGCCAACATACAGGCCTTCATAAAGGGCCTACCTCACTTTGGCTTACGTGTGACAATCCTTTCCGTCAGAGCATTCATCTTGAACTTGTGAAAAGAGCAAAGGCACAGTTAACGCCATCTATTAGCTGCTGGTTTCCAGCCCGCAGTCAGGCCGCTGGGCCTAAGCCTGCAGCTTTCCTGAGGGGCACTGCAAACGCACGTCTTCCTGACTCACATTCATGCGACAAACGTCAGCTTTTCCCCACATGAATTTTCTCAACCTCGGCAAATACTGTTAATAAAGCCGACCTGGGAATCCGAACCTCGGCTTTAAAACGGGCGATTTAAAGCCGGATGCCTGACAAAAAAGAGAAAACGACGCCTCTCTAATACGGAAGGTCCTAGATCAAGATATTTTCAATCGAGCCTCAAAAAGAGAAAAGGGTCAGAATGAGGAAGGTGTGTGTCCTTTCTTCTCAAAGACAATCCTCGTCCTCCAGTCATCGTTTTCCTGCAACTCCACGTCCCCGGGCCAGCGTCACCACCCCCTGAGGCCCTGTCTTTGTACGGGGGGGGAATTCGACCTTCTCTTAGCAGAAAACGGCCTTTTTAAGGCACGAACGCTCGCCCTCGGGCAGCATCCACACCCCACTGTCGCTGACAACCCTGGCGGCTCGCTCCTCTGGCCACTGAGAGGGTGGACGTCCCTGAAGACGGGGAAAAGTCACTCCGCTTTCCAAGGTTCTCCCCTTGAACTTCCCGAGCCCTCTACGATCGACGGGGCCCCACTCTTAGGTACCAGCGGCGGCTTCCTTACCAGCTCTCCGCCCGCGGGGGGCGCTTGCCCGTGGCCAGTGCAAGGACCGCTCGCTGCCAGCTCGGCTGCTATCCCTGCGGGGTGAATCTAACATGGCGGACCGAGACCAGGCCTAGTCCCATGTTTCTCAGAGCTCCCGAGTCGATGATTGGCTCTCGCTATTTGTCCCTCAAAATCACCACCCCACCGATTGGTCAATGCCGCGTTGGCAAGGGCGGGACAGCAGTTCTCTGAACCGCACAACAATAACAAACACCCAGGCCGAGGGCGGAACTAGTGCGCAGATGTCAGCGGAGTGGATTTCCCTTTCCCGAGCCGATTGGCCGCCCTCCGCTTTCCCTAGGGTCACTGACCTTGCAGGACGCGGCACCCGAGAGTCGCGGGGCCGGATGGGAATTGTAGTCTTCCTGGGACTTGCAGCTTCTTTTTAGTCTAGTCTCTGGGAGCAAGACATGAAAACAGGACGCTGCGACGCATAGCAGCTCTCCCGCGTACCCGCGAGAAGGACTCCGCTGTGTTAACTGGGTTGCTATGGTAATCGTGCCTGCTTCCGGCGCTGGAGGCTCCTTTTCCTTAAGACTACAGTTTCCAAGAGAGGCTGTGCAGAAGGCCTTTCGTCCCGCAATGCATGCTGGAATTGGTAGTTCTTTTTTTTCACACGAGCCTTTATTTACCTAAACTGGAGACTTCCATGGCAGGAAGACTAAAGGGAGGGTTGAGGCCACGGCCTGCCACGGCCTGCAACTGCTTTGGGGACTACCTTGCGCTCATATTCCGGCCTCGGATGAGCGATTCCGACCCTTTGTACAGAATTACTGTGACGTAATAAGCAAGCGTAGCTGCGAAGGGGCGGCTGCCTATTAGGAAACTCAAAATTCTTTCTCTTCCGTCTCTTTCTAGTTACGACATACAGGGAAAGACTAGGCGGCCAATCCCGGGCCCGGAAAGAGTGTCTACTTATTTTTTTCCCCCTCCCTTCCGCTGACGTGTCTGGATCTCGGGTTCCTAGAGGCTAGCACTAGGCGCCCAAGCTGCCGGTTTCCTTGGCAACAGAGAGCGCGGGAATTACAGATACATTGTAATTGCGGCTGCGCGGCGGCCGCTGGTGCCGCGGGAGGACTCCGTGCTTTTCGAGCGGCTTCTCCGGTACCGGGGCTCGGGAGCACGGACGTTCTGCTCGGAGTCAAGGTGAGACAGACCTGAGGAACAGAACGGTACCTCGCGATAGTCAGATGAAGGGCAGCGGCTGCAGGTCGAGGCGGGTGTTTACCTGGGAGGAGAATGCCTGGGGCGGAAGGAAGGGGTCCCAGACGTCGTGAAACTGAAAGGACTCCCCGGAGGGGCGCAGTGGGTGCCTTCCCGGGGACCGCTGTGAGGAAGAAGGCCGGGGATGGGTGAGGAGCTGCCCTGGCTGTAACCGTGCCTTGAAGACAGTATAAGCATGCTGGCTAAAAGGTTAAGTGAGAGGAGAGGGGGGCACACACAAGTGTGACAGGGAAATCCATGTGCAATTCACCGAAGGGAAGTACATAAAGGAACGCCAATAGCAATGGGTGCTGTTGGCAGGGGAGACGTGTTTCAAAGGGTCTTGAGGTTAAGGGCCGTAATAGGGAAACCCTCGGGAGGGCTAGAATGGAGAAGCGTCAGCTGGTTTCGGTTTTGGTAACTTAAAAAAAAAAAAAAAAGTGCGTTTCTTTGTCTTGGTTTTATTTTTTTGTTGGTTTGGTTAGTTTCTGAGACAAAGTCTCATTGTGTAGCTCTGGCTGGCTTGAAACTCGATATGGAGAGCAGGTTGGCCTCGAACTCATGCACCTTCCTCTGCCTCCGTGGAGAAGGGGTTGAAGCTCTCCTCTACCATGCCCATGTAGTTTTGGAGTTCTTGAGGACCGGGTCTTCTGTACTCTGGCTGGCCTTGAACTCCTTACGTAGCTCAAGGTGACCCTGAGCTCTTCATCCTGCTGCCCGCGCCTCCAGAGCGCTGAAAGTTACAGGTTTGCACCACCATATTGACTGAGTTTGTTTCCCTGTCTAGCCCAGGAAGGGCTAGAACTTTTGAAAGCAAGCCATTCTTATCCTTCACCTTCTCCATTTCCTGGGACTATAGGTATGACACCGCTGCGCCCTGCTTAGTTTTGATTTTAAGCAAGAAAAAGAAAACCAGGACTCTGGAGAAAAGTTCATAGCTACCGCTTCTATCCGGTCACTCCACTGTAAATTTCCTTTTCTTGCAGAAAGGAAAGAAAGACCAAAGGAAGGCCTCAGAGGCCATCTATCAAAGAATGGAGAATTTAGATTGCTAAGTACAAAGAGCAACTGCTAGATTTTTTTTTTTTAAAGATTCATTATTTATTTATTCTGTATGCAATGTTCTGCCTGCATGTATCCCTGCAAGCCAGTAGAGGGCACCAGATCTCATTACAGGTGGTAGTGAGCCACCGTGTGGTTGCTGGAAATTGAACTCAGGACCTCTGGAAGAGTAGCCAGTTCTCTTAACCTCTGTGGCGTCTCTCAAGCTCAAGATTCTTTTTTTTTTATTGTGTACATATGTACGCAGGGGTTCTGGCCTGGATCTAAACTTCCAGATAGCTGACATAGGTGCTGGGAATTGAACTCAGGTCCTCTGGAGGAGAGGCACATCCTTTTAACCACTGAGCCATCTCTCCAGACCCTGAGACGACCTCCTCCTCCTCCTTTCTTAAATGAAGATGTTTTTCATCAGCTGTATGGTTGGTACAATTCTAAAGCAAAATTAAATTTCTCTTACTTAGAATGACAAACCAGGTGTGGTAGCTTACACCTGTAACCCCAGCACTCTGAGGCAGGAGGATTGCTACAAATTGGAGGCTAATCTGAGCTGCATAATGATTTCCAGGCTTGTGTGGGCTACAGAGTGAAAACTTCCCCCAAAAGGGTAGATGGGGATGACTTATGCCCAGTAATTCTAGCAGTAAAAGGGGTGGAGGCGGGAGGATCAGGGGTTCAAGAATAGCCTTGAGTACACACAAGTACAAAGCTGCTGTGGGTTATAGGAGATCTCAAAAAAGAAAAGAAAATTGGCATGTAAGCTACTGTATTTAAAAACCTTGTAAAGTTGTTTAATTATATGTGTTTTTAAATTTTCATTATAAAGTTCACTGGACCCGGAAGAAATGGATTTATCTGCTGTTCAAATTGAAGAAGTACAAAATGTCCTTCATGCTATGCAGAAAATCCTAGAATGTCCAATCTGGTAAGTCAATGGAAGAGTTTATTAATTTGAGATTCTTTGTATGATTATCTTTCATGCAAATGAGTAGAAGTGGCTCTACATAGTAGAGAGAAAAACAATCTGTTAATATCAAAATGATTTTGTTTTTTCATAACTGAAGAGTTTCAAAAATTTAGAAAAGTACTCTTCATCCTGTCCCCCGCCCCACCCTTTCCCAGCCAAAGGCTTGTCTTGGTTTGCTCTTCCTTGGTGCGGGAGCCTGCTTGGAGTAGGTGGCGCCGAGGCCTTTCCTCCAGCTGTAGGACCCCCTGACGTCTTGGAACAACCTTAGTAAATAATGTTAAAATAACGTGAAGTGTTTGGTATCTGGGAGAGCATCTGTCTGCCTCAAACTGGCCCTGTAAATTAAAGTGAGAATGTTACCAGTCCTCAAAGCTTTTAGTAAGTCTAATGCAGAATGAGCTTTTCTTTTTTTATGAAATGAAGAGAGGATTGGTCTATTGGTCTAATTAGCTATCTCCACATTCCCACCTTTTTTCTTTTTTCTTTTTTTTTTTTTTAAGACAGGCCACATTATAGCATCCCAAATCCGCCTCAGACTCACTATCTAGCCTAGGCTGGCCTTGAACTCAAATCCTCATGCCTCTGCCTCTTGAGTGCTAGGATCATAGACATACACTACCACACCTGGCTAAAAGAGTGAGTTTTGGCCAGTGTTTATCTGTGTAAGTCTGTCCCCAGTTAGGATATGACACATGTGGAGAGTGGCTTACCTAGCACACCGGAAGCCCTGGGCTCAGTTCCTATCACTTCCGTAAATTGGGACTGTTGACTGATATCTGTAATCCCAGCAGAAAGTAAAGTCAGGAGGATTAGGAATTGTAGGGAGAATTTTCTGTCCTGCCAGTCATCTCTGTCTCGCCAGCAGGCTACCTCCCAAATAATCATACAGAGACTAATTAATCATAAATGCTTGGCCAGTAGCTTAGGCTAATTGCTAATGAGTCCTTACAACTTAAATTAACCCATTTCTATTAATTTGCTTTCTGCCTTGTGGCTTTCTTACCTCTATCCCATTTTGTGTGTCCAATTCGTTTCACATCTCCCTGTACCCTGGTGACTTTGCCCTTCTTCCCAGCATCCTCTGAGTCTGGCTCTCCCACCTAACTTCTTCCTGACTAGCTATTGGCAATTTAGCCTTTTATTAAACCGATGAGAGCAACACATTCACAGCGTACAAAAGGATTATTCCACAGCAAGGAGTTCAAGGTTTGACTGAGGCCCGCCTGGGATACATACGACCCTGTTTCCATTTTCTTCTTCTTCACTTAACATTACTCAGGGCTGGGGGTATCCCTTGGAAGCAGAGCAACCTAACCAGAGTGCTTTAGGCCCCACCTTAAGTTTCCAGCACCGCGAGTCAATGATACGGAGAGAGGGGTTCCTGGCATAACCAGTGTTAAAAAGCCTAAGCCGGCGCTGGAGGGATGGCTCGTGGTTAAGAGTGCACACTGCTCTTAAAAGCGTCAAGCTCAGTGTCTAGTCCCCGGGTCAGGTGGCTGATGACCACCTGTAACTAATTCCAGGGACGCCGACACTGTTTGGCACTTCCCCTGGACATCTTCACTCACCAGTACAAACCTCCACACAGAAATACACAGATACGCACAATTCAAGTTAAGTCTTGGGCTGGGTGTGGTGGCACATGCCTTTAGTCCCAGCACTCGTGGTAGAGGTGGGTTGATCACTGGGTCCAGGGCCATTTTGGCCTACAAAGCAAGTGTCCAGGCTAATCAAGGCCACCCTGTCTCAAAAAACTAAAATAAAGGAGATCTGTTTTTTAAAAGGAAGCCCAAGCACTCATTAAATGCTCTTTCATAGTTTCTTGGATATAAAAAAGTGAAATAAAAATCCATATCAAAATCTCTTAAAGATTTATTTAGCGGTGGTGGTGCACTCCTGTAATCCCAGCACTCCAGGAGGCAGAGGCAGGTGAATCTCTGAATTCAAGGCCAGCCTGATCTACAGAGTGAGTTCCAGGACAGGCTCCAAAGCTACAAAGAAACCCTGTCTCAAAAACCAAAACAACAAAAAAGATTTTTTTATTTATGTATTTATGTATTTTATGAGTGCCCTATTTACATGTATGCCTGCATGACAGAAGAGGGCATCAGATCCCACTACAGATGGTTGTGAGCCACCATTTGGTGCTGGGAATTGAACTCGGGTCCTCTGGAGGAGCAGCCAGCGCTCTTAACCACTGGGCCGTCTCTCCAGCCCTGAGAATCTTTTAATGAATGACTAGAAATGGAAATTAGAATTGTTTCCCTTCTCCCCTTCTCATTCTGTGCAGTGGTTATTTAGACCTATAGCCCAGCTTTTTAACTGTTCTTAAAATATGCAACAAAATCTTCCACTTCTGCCTTTGAGCCAGTAGACTTCATGTTCTCTCTGTCTATAGTCTTTTGATTCATATAATTACCTGGCTTGAAAATCTTGATTCTTTATTTGTTTGTTTATTTTCTTTTTCATATTGAGATAGGATTTCTCTGTGTAACAGCTCTGGCTATCCTAGAACTCA